AGTGATCTTGACCACGGAACCAGCAATTTCCACTATATGCACATTTTGGTGAACAGGAGCTGTATCCCTAAACCATAACTGGATTGCCACCTTGTAGCCTGCTGTTCTCTGATCTCAGTAGCTGAGCTTGGCCGGGCCTGATCAGTCCAGGGGCAGGAGACCTCCAGGGAAATCCAGGTGGCTGCTGTAAGTGGTGCTCGTCGACCAGTAGGTGGTGCTCTTTCCCCGGGATCAGAATTTCCAAATGCTATTGCCCAAGCTAGTGCATGGTGTGTCCTGGGAGCACTGTGCTATAAGAGGTGCTGAGCTTTGCATGAGATGTTAACCCAAGGTCCTGACTACTGAGTCATTAAAGTGACAGGACAGCTTAAAAAACAGCAGCGGCTCTATTCTACACTCTGCTTGAGGAATCTGGCCACCCTCAAGGTCCAGCCCCTTCACTAGTGGAGAAATGTCTTCCCCTGATTTCCAGTGCAGTGGAGCAGTGGTCGACTCTGAGGGGTGTGGCAATTGAGTGGCGGACGAAGTGGGCGCTCTCCAATGCGTGAAGATCCCTTCGGAGATCTATGCACATTCCAGGGAATTACTGGAGCTCCCTGAACCCGGGAGCAAGGAGTTGGAAGGGTCTTGTTCCCTGCTGAAGATCAGGAGTGATGCTTTGCAGACAAAAGCAGAGGAAGAGGGAAAACTGTTGTGGAGTAGGTGGCTTCCATCTGCCGGGCCCGAGGGGTGGTTGGCTGTTGACGTGGGACTTGCGGGGGAGCGTGGGGGCTGGAGAGACGAGCGTGCGCGCGCCGGTGGTGGATTGCCTTGGGGGCCCCGGCTGGGGCGTGACGCCCAAGCTGGAGACCGCCGGGGACGACAGCAGGGCTCTGCGGCGGGCTGCGGGGGGGGGGGGGGGGGGCAGAACAAAAGGGATGACAGGAGGGACGAGGTGAGCGGAAACAATGCGTGCTTCTCCGCGCTTGGACAAAAGAAGCGAGAGGCTGGCGACCTGCAGGTGAGGGGGAGAAGAAGGAAACCTTTCCTGGCTCCGCGCTGCCGACACACTCTCCAGCCCCTCTCTCTCTCCAGCCTGCCCTCCCGAGCCCGCGGGGTCTTCCAGTTCGCTTGGAGTCAAGTCTCCATTGAATGCCGGCAATTCCCGACCGAGGAGCTGCCGGAAGGTTTTGACCACCCGTTACCAGGTTAGGGATCACGGGAACGCTGGGGGAGGTGGGAGCTGATTGATCGAAAGAGGCCCCACCCTGGCCTGCTGTCTGTCAGCCCCCGAAGTGTTTCAGGTCTGGCCTTGGTGTTGGCTTCAGGGGCTGTGGGGGGGGGGACAGTGGGACTCTGGGATCGGCGATGTCCTACTGTCCCGAGTTGAGTTGTGATAAGTAAATCATCCTGTACGCATTGATGCAAGAACATAAGAGCACAATGGAGACTTGACTCCCCTTTGCAGTGAGGTGATGATCTCCTTGCCTCCTGCTGGCTGCTGAAATCACACCGCTTGTAAAAAAAATTTTTTTGATGTTGCTGCCGAAGAACGCGGGCGTCTTTCGCAGTGAGTGATTTTTAAAACCCAGCGAGAGGTCGATATCCGCAGCACCAGAAGCGTCGCTCTGCCTGTGCCCCCAGCACCCAGGCTCTGCAGCTGGAGAGGTGAGAGAGGAAGATCTTCGTCCTCCGGGGAAGGAGAATCCCATTTCATTAAGAACCCTGGAATATATATATATTTTTTTCGTGTGTATGATGGAGTCTTTAGGCAAGGTTACCATGAAGGACAGCCACCTCCCTGGAGCCCTGGGTATGTGGGTTAGCTCCCTGTTCAGCTCTCTGAGGTCACTGCCTGTCTTTGTCTGATCGGGATGTGAAACTGTTGAATGGGGACTGCGAAACAATCAGGCTAATTTAGGTTTCAAATGTGTTCACTGTTGTGTGAGGAGGAAAACAAAAAGTGCTCTTTCTTGCCTAGCTATCATTATATATAATATACCTCCTTCTTGTTTATAGAAGGCCTGGGAGCATTTTGTGATCAGCTTCAAATTTGGGGAAAAAGCTATTAGGCTATTTAGGTACGTTCATGAACAGCTGGAAGGATCGAGTCTGCTCTGTCACGAGTCAGATGCCTTTGATTATTGGACAGGTTCGTGCTTCTGCTCTGTGTTTGGTCTCATCCTGAGCAAGTTTTTTTTCCCAGCACCCTGTTCGGATGAGTTAAAAATACTACAGCTGTGTGTTGCATTGGTAGTGTGGACTATGGAAAGTGTTTTGAAATAAACCTTTAGGCCTGCTATAAAATTATGTTCAAGCTCACATGCAAAGTTTTTTTTTTTTAAATTCAATTTCACATAATTAAAATTATTACAAAATTGCGGAGCTAGGTTTTCGCTGTAGCATTACACACAGTGTAAAGTGCTTGTCAGAATATTTGCATAACTAGATATCTATGTGCTTAATTCCAATAATATACGCATTGCTACAGTTGAATTCCTGTTTGAATTATTTTAGCACATGCTTGCTTTCAAATAACCCTGACAATTGTGTAGTTGTATGGGCTTGAAAGAAAAATTGGAATTTATATTTGTTGTCTGTGTGTTAAGTGCGCTGTTCTGGAGTAATTGTATAACTAAGGTGAAGTGTAAGTGTGTAATTAATGTAGTGTTACTGTATTCTGTATTAATCATTGAACTTCTGCCTTACTGAAAATAAGCATTTAAATGGCTATTGAGCTACATTTCCTTTGATTTGACCATTGATTAGTAGTGCTGCCTGACACTTCTTTACCCCATATAATAGCCCAACAGAATGCATCTGGCGTTTCACATACAGTATGTAAGGCAGCTCTGAAAGGGTAACCCCGTGGTGACATTAATTAGCACATCGAACGTCAATTTGTTTCACTTTGGATTTGAAATATTTATCTGCGTTTCTTTCACTGTTTTATAATAGTCAAATCAGTCTGGTTGGCAGTCCCTTTAGGGGGTTACTCTGGGGTTTCAAGCTGAGTAATATCACACCAGCTTCAGCGGAGTGATTCAGAACATCATTTGCAACACGGGCATTTCAGCGTAGTTTTGAGATTGCAGAGGATTCTTATTTTTAAAAACATGACACTAGGGAGGCCCCGATTACAGAGGTGATTGCAAACCATACAAGGACCTATATTGTTTGGATCTGGCATTTATAAAAAAAAGTTTTGTAAAGTCTCCACTCTTCATACTTAGGCAGACCTTTCAGTTGTAACTTCTGTGTATCCACATGTAACCCACCTAGAACTGTCGGTTTGTCTACATTATGAAATATTTGCATCTCTGAGGTTGTGCAGGATGTAGGGTGTTTTTTTTCTCAGTTTCTGTCATTCGTACGCATGAAATCTCGTTACCAGTGTGCCTGCGCACTCTTATCTGCGGATCGCGATGGGAGAGAGGTGCTGTGGGCGGTGCTGTAGTCGAGCCCGCCTCTTTCCTGAGCTCACTGGTTGCTGCTCAAGATGATTTATAACCGAAGTGGCTAAACGTGGTCCCCCAGGGCCAGTGTGATAGCAGGGTATCCGAGTCTTTTTTTCAAAGCTCCAGCACCTGAAGATTGTGGAGAAGTTGCTAAATTGGCCCCATTAAGCAAACGAACGAGCTGATGGAGCTTGTTAACCTGCAGACCCACCAGCGCTCCAGAACTGCATTGCCCACCCCTGCTTCAGAAGATAAGAACAGTTATAAAGCAAAGCCGTCCAGACCCAGCTAGCCCATTCATTGGTTAGTAGCTGATTGATCCAAGGATCTTGCCCAGTCGTGTCCTGAAAGCAGCCAGGGCATCAACTTTGTCAGCCTAGCCCTTGCCTTCTGGTTTATGTTTTGTGGTTTGTTCTGGAGAAGGGTTGCTCAGTGTTTGGGGGAGGTTTGAACAGTCGTGTTCAGGTCCTCTCAATCATTTCTGATCTGCAGGACTAAAAAGTGTCCCAATTACTTTAGCCGTCATTGCATTGACCTTGGACATATAGTCATTTTCAATGGGCGAACCTTCTGCCAAGCGTGCCCCCAGATGGCTGTTTGTTGGCATGCTTGGAGAGCGGCTGGGGCGCTGTGTGAGGGACACACCTCTCCTCCAATCAGCCCCGAATCTCCAGTTCGAGGAGGCGGTGCCTGTGATGTGTTCCAATACGAGTGGTGGAAAGGTGGGTGGGTCCGCCTCCGCTTCCTCCTTCCCCCGTGCACGGGGACGAGCTTCGTGTCTGTGAACCGAGGTGGGGGAAGACGCGCAATTGACGTTTCCAGATCGGGGGGGTCTATCAAAAATACCCAGCCATTCGAATTTTTTTTCGCACAAAACATTGGCGGAACTGTTGTGGATTGCTGCTTGCTTGGTACGTTACAAAATCTGTTGTGAAAATTACAGCAAATGCTGTTTTGAGAAGTGAACTTTAGCCCCTGTATTATAACCTTTTCCATCCCTTATTTACCAGGTAGTGATGTGTGTGTGGTGAAGGTAAATTGGAGACAGCCTGTTAGTGCACCTGTCTTGAGTTATTGTGTTACTCTTCACCTCAGAACCTTTATTAGCCTAATTCTGGTCTCCTACGGGTCCGACAAGCCCGTCTACACTCTGTGGGAGACTGGGCCTTCCCCTGCTACTCTCCAAAGCTCTGGAATTCTATCCCCAGGGATATCGGAGAACCACCATCCCCGAGCGCTTTCAAATCCGGACTCAAAACCTTCTTTAGAAGGGTTTTTATTTAATACGTTCTGTTTGCGCCGTGCTTTCCCTACTGTAATCCAAACCCTCATTGTAACTATGTAATCCTGCTATTTCCTCTCATTGTGTATTTTTTTCCTTTAAAGTGCTTTGAGATGCCTTATACAAGGCGCTATGTAAATTAAAGTTTATTATTATTAGTGCGTCTCTTGAAGGGAGACCCAGATGTCTTGCTGCCCTCCTGCTTGGAGGCAGTCGATTGCTTTGGCCTGATGCTGAGGGACCGCCCCTGACCCCTGACCTTTGCCCTTTGTCTCCCTCAGAGTGCCGCTGCGGCTCCCAGCCCAGTGCTCGGAAACATTCCTCCCAGCGACGGGATGCCAGGGGGACCGATCCCTCCAGGGTTCTTCCAGGTAAGCTCCTCTCCTGGATCCCCTGGCCTGTGGGAGGGAGGGAATTGTATGGCTCTCTTTGTTTAGCCTGTTGTTTTACAGGGGGTCACATGCAGTGCTGTCAGAATTTCCTTCCTAAGGAAAATCATAAACCGCCAGAGAAAAGGCTGTTCATTTTTACGATCCCTAAATGCCTTCCCCTTTATGAGCAGGCTGTTTTCTCTCTGCCCCCCGCCCTCCTGTGTTAGTCACGGGGGTTGGCGCATATTTTATCAGCCCTCCTCTCCATTCTGGAGTGGCTAAACCTACAGCACCTGTCTGATTAGCAGCCCTGGGGGCTGACTCATCGGTGGTGAACGGCTGTAACTGTCGGTACCACCCTCCTAGTCCTCTAGCCTCATCAGACCTCCCAAGCTAAGCAAGGTACTGGGATGGGACACGTCGGTGGTTGACCAGTAGGGGGCAGTCTTCCAGCTGGACGAGGATTTTGAACACCAGGATCCCAGGATAGCGATGGGGGGTGAGACCTACAACCAAGATCCCAACTAACCCTTCACTAAAGATCCCATGACTCTCTTCTGAACAGTAGAGGGATGTGAAAAGCTCTCTGAAGTTTCCCCTTCGTTCAGCTGGCGAAACAATTTCTCACCTCTCTGGTCTGCTGTGCGATAGAATTGCTGTCCATCCGCCAGGTGGGCGCTGTGCTTCAGTTTTGGATGAAGTGGGTGTAATATGTGAAGGACTTTGGGATGAAAGCACAATATTAATATGGTTACTCTTTATAATTGTTCGTTTTTAACTCCCTGGCTCAGTGGTTGGCTGGGGGTGGACTATTGCTCTCTGCCCGCAGGGGTGTTGCACCTACGAACGAAAGAGCCGTATCAGTAGCTTGTCCAGAGCGTTTTTTCTTCAGGGCACGACTGTAGCTTGGAGCGAGTGAGGGGCTTACTCATTTTTGTTCTCAAGAATTACACTTGCAGACCTTGAACCTTGGTTTGGGCTGCAGTCTGAGAAATGTCTGCGGGCTGTTGTTCAGCTGTGGAGAAATGGGGACTGACAGTCCTGGGAAAGACCGTTTTCTGTATGAAGGATCTTGTTGCCAAACTGGTCCAACTTTATTCTCATTTTTGCCTTTAGAAACGATTTGCACTAGGGGATGTGGAGGTCTTACTTGCACCGATGAAATTGAAAGTTGCACATAAATCAATGTCTGCCTCAGTATTTAGCCATGCATCAGCAGTTAGCATGAAATATGTTCAATAACAAAGCAGGAAATGAGTTTGTGGGGCACCACTGCCCTCTAGTGCTCCGATACAATAGCAGGTTTTTTTATTTGGGTATATCTGAGCTCTGTGTTTGGAAACTGAGATGTTAAAAAGGGCTTAGAATTATTTCACAAAGCTGTTGATGCTTCAGATAGGTGTGTTTATTTATTGTGTCAACTGTGTCATTGATGTCACCATTTTATTTAATTTTGTTTCAAAGGAAGTGGGATATAGTCTTTTGTTTTGGGGGGCGTTTCCTGATCCTGAGGAGAACTGTATTTTCCATTCATCTCGGTGTAAAGAAAGATCTGTTCGTTCACCAAATTGTTTGGAATTTTTGAATTTCCTACAGATTGTTTTAATTGCTGCTGTGTCTTGTATGTTGGAGATTGTGTGAGAGCAGTGCAGGATTAGTTAAGGTTAGGGAGGAGAAGTGGTTTTTATTATTAGGGTGTAATAGTGTGTAAGGCAACAGAAGTATGACTTTCCTTTGAGAGTTTCAGATGGAGGAAGAGGTGAAGTTACTGTGATATATTACCAGATTATATATTACTGGAGTAGACAATTGTTTAGCTGTGAGTGACATAGGATGTTCCTGGAACTATGTATTTGTCAATAGATGTGGTGTACCGTTACTCAAGTAACGGCAAACTAGAATTCTTTGAATAATGTTTACCTGATTAGACCTATAATATATTTCTATTCAGAATTGGAAAGGCTACTACTGTATAATAACTGAGAGGAAAATGAACACCAGTGAGAGTAAACGCAAGGGGTGTTATCAGAACACTAATAATGATATTAGAATTCATGTCTTTCTTTTGAGGGTTAGCAGGAGGGTCAGCTGATAATTGTCTGAGCTTCTGGTCTCAATATCTGAACCTCTAAAAATTTGCAAGGGACCATCGCAGGCTTTTATGGGCCTGCGGTTATCTAGCCAGTGGTTTTCAGATTCCCGGCCTCCGTGTGGCGGTGCCAAATGATTTTCAATCGGCTGTCTTGTAGAAGCTGAAAAAAGAAAGTGCTTCGTTGTGCACGGGGGGAGGTTAAAAGCCCGTTTTCTATGGAATGCCCCCGCCCGGCCCCTCTAGGGATACAAGAGGAAGCCGCCACATTTTCTGATTTTTGCCTCAGATGCTTGTTATTGTTCCATTCTGAATGTGCTGGACTCCTCCCTCGCTGCCTAACGAGCAGAGAGAACATTCCCTGTGTTTTTGTTCTGTGGGGATAGCTGCAGTTACATTATCCAGAGGTAGCTGTCATAAGCATTAGCATATCGGAATAAAGTGGCTGGGAGGACTCGGATTTATTGCAGCACAGTGCCTGCCAAGGCGATGCTTCAGAAAGATTGGAGCGTCCCGGGAGTGTGTACCAGTTCCTGAAATACTGGCGGCTGGTGTTCAGGGGCACAAACTCGGATGCTTTTCAGGCTCTTTTGGCCAAAAGCGGATTTCTTTTCATGGGTCATTGTAATCACCTTTTCCCCTACTTTTTAGTCGTACCATCTCCCATTTCACTAGAATTGATACTTATTGAGGTCTTGTTTTCAAATGATTGAAGGCCACAACTGAACTCAGTAGCTGGAATTTGGTGTTGACCTTAATTCGTTTTAGCTTGTTTAGAAACCAGCTTGTTCTAAAGGTTTGCTTAAGTCTCTGGCTTTTTTGTAGTGATGTAAAAGATATGTCATCTCCCCTCGCCCTATAAAAAAAATCACAATTCTGCTGACTCAACAATTCTTCATCACAGCCACCAGATCCTCTGCCCCATTCTCTGTGTAGATTTGAGTTTGTGCAAGTTTCCAGTGGAAGTGTAAAGAGGCCTTTCTCCACAGGTTTGAACATAAAGAGCGCTTTGCCCGAATCGGATCTGTAGTGGATGCTAAGTTAGCTATTCCTACCAGGGGAGATGTAAACCTACTGAGCCAAAAAAACGACACAAATGTGCCCTTAGCCAGACTCTTGTTTTGACTTAGATGTCGTGGTCCTGGCTGAGTATAAACCCACTTCAGTTGTTTAATTTATTGAGGCCATGCTTTACTGTAGATTGAGCACAGTTTACTGAGAGGGAAGGAATTGTGGATTAATTACTTGTCCCCTACTCAGTCTGGAAGTTTAGAGTTGGCTTATTACTTTCTATATAGCAGCTAACGATGGACCAAATAGTGATTTTTTTAAATTAATAAATGCCAGGGCACATTTTTCGGTTTTGCAGTGTGTTTAATTACTTGTTTGTGGGAAATCCTGAATGTTCATGCTGTGAAGTGTCGAACTGTACCTCCTGGTATGGCTCTCGTGGCTTTGTCTTGTCGGAATTTCTTCAGAGCTGCTGTTTTTTGTTGTTGTTGTTGTTGCTGTTTTCTTCCGAAAAGCCATCTTGTTTCGAAACACTGCGGTCCTTCACTTGCTCGTTGAAAAGGTGGAGCACGTTCTGCCTCTGATTGCTTTCCCCTTCAAGTTCAGTGTTGCTCCACAAATCTTTGAATTTCCGTGTCGCCACCCCGCGATCATTGTGGCTGTTCCTCACCAGTACAAAGGAACTGCAGGTGCAAATGTGGTTTGCTTTCATTAGTCTCCTCCCTTTTTAATTTGTGTAATTTCAATTTCTCTGCTCCTGTACTGTTAATTAGACTACCCTCTAATCAGTACCATTATCGCAGTGGTATTCATGTTTGGTGAAGCTGCTAAACAAATGCTTGCAAAATTGCTAAATGGCTAATTAATGTCTGTTAATTAAGAAAATTGCTTGTGGTAACAAACCATGCTGTAGCTGGCAGCCGCTAAACACTAACACTTGTTGAAGGCAGCACGGTAGCAGGTTTACAGCAGCTGCTCGTGTGCTGTCAGTGCTTCTGGGGACCAGCACCGAGAGGAGATTAAACTGAACACTCTGGAGTCGTGTGGAGGGAAAGCTCGAATCTGTGCTGGAGAGTGCGCAGTACATTTTAACACCCAGCCTCTGAAGCTGGAGTAAGATCACAGTTTGCAAAAGGGGCTACCAGAAGATGGTTACCATTCGTCACTCAAACATGAAATCACAAATTACTTACTGGGATAAACCTAAGAGGAACCCCATTTTTTCCCCCCATAGACTCTCAAGTTACAACTACTCAAATCAGTTTTCATATTCTAACCAAATGACTTTCATTGGCTCTTGCAGACATTTTGTCAAATTCTCACTCTTTTCAGGCAACTGCTACTACAGAAAATAGATACAAGTATTGAATTTCAGAAATCATTATTGTTGAATTCTGCAATAAAGTTTTTTTTTATTATTTACACAGTTTATATGAGTATTGATTCTTTCCACCTATGGCAGCGATTTTCCAAACTCGCTTGTTGTTCAAAGACAAACATTTGTCCCTAATGGGGAGCAGTGTGGTAAAGGACAGGGCAGGGGGGGGTTAGAAGTTTGCAGGGAGGACCTGGATGGAATAAATTTGTAACCGTGTTTCAAAATGTGGCTTGAAGTGAAGTGTCGCCTTCAATTGTGAAGACCCTTTATCCTCCAAGACAAGAACACTCTGGTGTGCCCGTGAACTTGGTTCTCTGGCTGTCAGTTTTCATCTTTTGATTTCAAGCCTTAGCCCGTGAGAAAACGGGCGAACACGCGATGCCTTTTTTATCCCAGTCTCCCCCCCCCAGGCCCGCACAAAGCGAGAATCGAGTTTGGCGGTTAGTGCCATAAATCCTGTGGGTGCTGGGGTTGCAAGGAGGAGTGGGAGCCATCTCCTTCTTGGAGTGTGTGAAGCCTTGTTAAAATATTGATTCTCCACCCTCTCCCTTTTTTATGGGGTGTGGAAAAGCAAATCCAGTAATGAAGTTAACCACAACAAAAGGGTTTTATTCTTTCCCCCCATTTGGAGTTTGGAGTTCAGCCCTGGCACATACAGGCTTATTTTTCCCAGCGAAAATTAATTTTCCGAGCAAACCGCAGGAGCCTCGTGGCTCAGCTGAACTTCAAAGGAGTCGCCCTCCTTCCAAACCTAGCACGGACATTTTGTCCTGTCCTGTTTTTTTTGTTATTTCTGTTCCATCCTTGTCATCCCTTCCATCCCCACCCCCTCTCCCCAACGGGACTCTACCAAAACCACGTATAAGTCCCCATTTGGCCTGTCCTGGGACAAGTAATAATAATTCCTTGCGCTTCCACAGAGCTTTTCTGGACACTCCACTCAAAGCGCTTTACAGGTAATGGGGACTCTCCTCCACCACCACCACCAGTGTGCAGCCCCACCTGGATGATGCACCAGTACGTCCACACATACACCAGCTCTCAGTGGGGAGGAGAACAGAGTGATGGCGCCAGTTCAGAGATGGGGATTATTAGGAAGCCATGAGTAGTAAAAGGCCAATGGGAAATTTGGCCAGGTCACCGGGGTAACACCCCTTCCCTCTTCGGAAAAATTCCCTGGGATTTTTAATGACTACAGAGACTCAGGACCTTGGTTTTACGTCTCATCTGAAGGACGGTGCCTGTTTACAGTAGAGTTTCCCCATTGCTATACTGGGGCATTAGAACCCATACAGACAGCTCCCCCCTACTGGCCCCACTAACACCTCTTCCAGCTCCAACCTTAGCTTTCCCAGGAGTTCTCCCATCCAGGATCTGGGCAGGCTCACATCTTGCTGAGCTTCGGTGGGCTGCTAGTGGTGAGCCGCAGGGCGATATGGCTACTGGGTGTGTAGGGAGTGCTGCTGTATGAGGAAACGCTGAGCAGCCTGAGCCCAGCTCTTCATCTGCAGGGGCTTTTCCCTGTCCCCTGTCCCTCTGCTGCTCGGTCCGGAGAGCCGCCCTGCCTTCTCGGCTCCCTGCTGCGCTGCTCTGCTCTGCACTAATCCACCCTCTTGCTTTCTAACAACAGGGACCGCCTGGCTCTCAGCCTTCTCCGCACGCACAACCTCCACCTCACAACCCTAACAACATGATGGGACCCCACAGCCAGGTAATTGGAGGGCCAGGCCTGCTGCTTTCTCGCTTAGTCCAGGGTGGGAGGGGGGTGGAGGGAGGGGTGCAAATGTTAGTTCTGCTCCCCCTGCCAGTTTTCCGGTCCGTTTCCCTGTCTCCGAATGATGGAGCCCTGCAGTGGAGGACTCCTGTCACCAGCTTTGTGTGCACTGCAAATTAACCAGCTATGCTGCCTCTCAGTTTTTGTGCACCGTGCTGTTGCGTCTGCCCATCTTCTTGGTCCGGTAGTCACCGTGGTCCAGGTTTCGGGGGATGGCGGAACAAAAAAAAACGTTACAGATGTGGCATTGCTGTGTCCTTTTAAAAGTTTTGTAAGAGGAGTGGGTCAAGCCATGAGATCCCCCCCCCAGAGAATGTTACTGCACACAACTTTAACGGACGTTTCCCATATTGGATCAGTTTGAAACCATCTACACTAAAGTGTACATGAAAGTCATGTTGAGCTGTCTCAGTATGAAACGAGAACATACTTAAGTTCTGCTTTGAGACTCGGTATTTTTAAAAACATACTCATGTTGGTCTTATGGGCCTATTATGACATCCTGCTGTAGGAGTTTTGTGATACTGGCTGTATCATTAGACGCACCTCAAGTAAAATATAGCCGCCATTTTGTAAGTTGTACTGTCTACACCCTTATCGACACATCTGATGAATGTGCCTTTACTTAGTTCTAACTGCTGTTCGCAGATGTGTATGAAAATGAATGTGCAAGTTCCATAACCTTGTTAACATGAGACACAATATGAGCGTAAACAAGACGTGAATTTTATATAACAGGTTTTCAGTTTATGCTTCGACAGTGTGACGTCTCGCATGACCTGTTCCAGTCTACCGTGCAGTTTGGGTCTTTAAAAAATTCACTTTACTGGAATCGGGTCTCACTAGAATCCAGAACTTGCGTTTTAAAGGTTGCTGTTGCATGCAAGAATGATGCCCCTCTTCTTTCTTCCTGTATCGCGATGTCTGAGTTATTTCGTTGGGAGAGCAGTCTTAGGCTCACATACTGATCGGTAACGCTTTGTTTTTGCAGCCATTCATGTCTCCCCGGTACGCTGGAGGCCCACGACCCCCAATCAGAATGGGAAACCAGGTACCGTCTCAGTCCGCCCCACAAAAACAACACACACGCACAAGGGAAAGAGACCCGGCCCTGAGGCTGGGAATCGAGAGATTACGTCGTCCTCCTCTGCAAACGTCTTTAAGTGGACTTACTGGAACAGAAAAAAAATTGAATTTGCCTGCGTTGAGGCAGGCGACAGTGTCGTTAAAATATTGTGTGGTTTGTTTGTCTGTCACCAGTATCAGGATAATTTTATTTGGTAAGACACTAAGTATTGCGTTTTCACATTATACTTAAAGTCCCATTTATAACAGTGGGCAGTTATCACTGATGTAATGGTGATTTTAGAAGACGCAGTTTCATCCTGCATATATATGTTGATTGGTTATACATCTGAGAAACTGTCAAACACATGCATCTAAAATTTTCAGTGCGAGATTAAAACGTTTGGTTGTAAAGTTCCATATAGAAAGCGATCATCTGCAAATTGCTTTAGATTACAGAAGAGTGCTACGACTAATCCCCCCTATTAGGCTAGAAAATGAGCCGTAGTATGCTTAGATCAGCTTCAGGGTTAAGCGACAGAGGTCATTCCTAAAATGAACCTGCATTTATCCTCTATCTTTACCGAGAACAGAAGGAGCTTTGTTCTGTTATTACAAACTTAGTAGACTCCTGGGTGGGTGACGTGGGCCAGTGGTATTTACCTGTAACCAAAGTGATCATGCCTTGACATGCCTAGTGAGACTGTAATCCCCAAAAAACCACACTTGCTTTTCTCAGGCTTTGCAAAAAATGACAGCTTATAATACTTTCTACCGAAAATAGTGTCAGTTTTCTTTTGAGCTCCAAAAAACAAATCGAACTGACCTGTGCCCTAGAAGCAAGAAATTAACGGTTGAATTTTAAGATGTTGAAGCCAGAGGTTAAGCAGGAACACATCTATAAATAATGCAATGCGAAATATGTGAACGAGGCATCTTGATTTGCAATGGAAATACTTAAAACCAAATAGACATCCTTCTCGTGCAGGCTTTGTGTGTGGCAAACAGCCACAGGACTATATGCTGCACTCAAAAGCCTAGGCTGTAATGCTCTATGTAGAAACCACCCTGATATTCACAATCTTTATGAAGACCTTGATCGTCTCCTGCTCTGTGAAGCAGTCAGTGAGCAAATTTCCGCCTTTAAAGGGAGATTGTGTCCAGATACCGCTTCCACAATGGTTTGGAGCAATCCCCTGGGCATCTGCACACAGATGCGTTCTCTTTGCAGTGAAGTGTTCGCGCATTCCCACAGTGCCCCGTCTTTGTGTGGAAATTGTAAGGCCCTCCGCTCACGTTGAGATAAATGCTAGGGGTCCGTTGGCGTCGCACAGGCGAGAACAATAGCGCCCGTTTCTCCTGGGCGTTTTGAAGCGCGTCCTGCCCTGCAGGAGGTGGCGGTATGGACGCCGGGTGGCGCGTTCAGGTCGCAGGTGGAGCTGTGGTGTCGAGGCTTGGGGAGTTAACCTGTGCAGTGAGAAGAGCTGTGAGGCTGTGGGTCGAGGCAGGCGGTGAGGTGACGCTGGCGTTTTCTCTCTCTCTCGCTCCCTGACAGCCTCCCGGAGGAGTACCAGGTGCACAGCCCCTGCTGCCCAACACAATGGACCACACACGGCAACAAGGTGAGGTCACCAGGTGTCGGCACACACCTTTCGCTGCCCTCCGCAGAGAGCAGTTCTGCTTGCTTTTCTCCTTAGAGTGGCCAAATTTAGCTTATTGAACGGCTGGACCTGTTGGGCATGATTTGTAGGTCAATCGTTTTTTTGTTTGTTTGTTTGATGTCCGATTTATAGTTTGGTTTTCAAACGTCTCGACCCTCCCCCCCTTGGTAGGAGGATAGCCTCCTGACTCGCACCTGATTGGTTGTGGGGAAGTGCTGAGCAGGGCTTTTCTGAACTAACTTTCAAAGTGGCAAAAGGGGTCCTCTCTCTTTTTTTTTTTTCAGATGGCAAAATAATCAAATGGTAAAGTTATTAGATTTCGAAGCTTTGGAAAACCTCCGGTGTGATCTTAAGGACTTCTGTCTTTCCTTGCAAAATTTCAGCCTGATCCTGCACAAACGCCATATAGCCAATAAAAAAAAAAACTCCCAGTTTGGCAGTTGCTAACGTGATTTAACGTGTGCGGCGCTGCGTCAGTGAAGCTGGGGACCTGCCGTGTGCGTTGGAGAAATCGTTCAGAATCTTCATGGGAACCAGTTGAGCCCAAACCTGCTTCAGATTGCTCTGCACAACTTAAATACAAGAAATTGCCTATCATAAAAGGAAGATGATAAAAAATGTAATGATCAATAATACAAATGTATTTTAAAATACAACCAAAAATACAAGAAATTGTCAAAATAACAAGGTTACCGCCATACGTTGTGTCATCTTGTTGCCTGTACTGCAAACTGGTCCAGTTCAAAGCCTGTGTGTAAGCCACTTGTTTTGAAATCTTTGTCAATGCTGGCAGCAACCTTGTCTTTCAGTGTACAGTAAGCTGCAGTGACAAATTGTGACTGGTGTGATTGTGTGCGCGCCCTGTGATGGACTGGCGTCCCATCCAGGGTGTATCCTGCCCTGTGCCCTTGGCTTGCTGGGATGGGCTCCAGCTCCTCCCCAGCCCTGTATTGGATAAAGCAGTAAGAAAATGTGTGGATGGAAAGTCTACCTTCTGCCTTCCAAGGTGTATACCCACACTTCCGTGTTTGTGTTTTTCAGGACATCCTAACATAGGAGGACCAATGCAGAGGATGAACCCCCCCAGAGGAATGGGCCCGATGGGTCCAGGACCTCAGGTATGCCCTCTCTCACTGGCAGTCATGAATGACTGAATGTTGAGCTTAAATGGCCCAACTCTTTTGCTGTTGCCTAAAAACTACTCTTAACGCAGAGTATGTTTCTGTGACCTTTACCCTCTGACCTCGCCGTCTGCCGGGAGCATCTCCTCAGACCTCCTCTCCCTGTGGCAGAATCGGTTGCTGGCTTCAGCTACGCCGTGCTCTGGCCCCAAACCGAACGTTCCTCCGGGGGGGGGGGGGGGTTGGAAAGCCATCAGGTTGCCGGTGGGGGCTCACCTGCCCCCCTGGAGGCTGTCGAATCCGCGTTTTGGTTCCAGGTGGCGGGTTGGTACAAGGAGAAGTTTATCCATGTCAAGTTGCCTTTTCTACGACGTGTTCCGATGTAGGACACGTCGGTCAACAATAGAAATACATTTTGTGTTGAGTTTGCAAGACAAGAGGGTAATGCTGCATTTGGATATGTTCTTTTCATTTTGGAAATAAAACTGTTAAATACTGTTAACATTAGCGGGCCCCAGAACTGAAGATGACCTAGCAATACAACCAGCTGTACTGCAGATGTAGCCTTCACAAACCTTGCAGTACAACACTTAAACACTTAGCATAAAAATGAACTATAAAGTAGTTGGCGTCCTTAAAAAATGCCTAGTTTATCAGTAGTTTATATAATTGAGCTTTGTACTGGTCAGTCGGTGTGAACAGCTATTCGCACTTGCCTTGTCTGCATCTGGTGTGGATGATCACGCCTGGGGCTCTGTTGTAGGGAACATGCCACAAGCCTCCTGGGGGGAAGAGGGTGTCGGAAATTGCTAATCAGGGAGCTCAGACCCCGTTTGTCTTCTTCCGTCTCAATTTTCCTTTGTCTGATCTCTTCTCGTCTCTCTGTTTGGTGTAGAATATGTCTGTCTCTCCTTTTATGAACACCCTGGTTGAATTCACCGCATCTCCAATTCACCACGCCACGCTCTGTTCCTCCTGAAACAGGAGTCCCATCCCTGTTGAACTTTTGCCCTCTGTGCTCCTGCCTTGAGGGCAGAACCAGTCCTTCACCTCTTGATCATGTCAGCCCATTTATTTACAGTAGGTCCGCTCCACAGTGCGGACTGTAGACAGCTGACTACCAGATGGGTCGTCTTTAACTTTGTACGACATTCTTTCACAGTTCAGCGATTAACCTTCTGCACGTGACATATCTTTTGTATTATATGTATACATTAAAAAATATATATTTCTCTTCTGCCTTATGTTAATTGTGATTGTTAGAATGAAGACCTCCTATTCACTCATATAAGTTAATAAGACCATAACAGCGCTTAATACAGATAGTCACAGGGAGAGTTACTGAAACACAGGTCAGATGGTTTTCATGTGGAATGTGGACTAAGGTCATCCAAAACAAGCAAATTACCCTGCTCTTGTTTGCAGCCTTTCTTGATCTCATTGATTCATTCATTCAGTTTTTAGGTTCTATTTAATACTGCTGTTAACGTTGTGCATTTTCCATGCTTTTATTGAGAATGGAAAACGACAAACCTGCCCCTTCGTAGTTTTTGTTAAACAAAATCACTTGAATGTTCGTGTAAACGTTTCGTTGTACTTTCAAGGGCTTCTGATTTGTTACTGTAACCCCCCTCAACCCCTGTCCACCCTCCACCCCTCCTTTCTGCTCCATCGTTCAGATGTTAATTGTCAGGTCTCGTTCATCGGCATCTTTTCATTCCAGTGCATTTCCCACAGACTAACCCTCTTTTTCTCTCTTCTCTTCTCTTCTCGGGTTTCTTCTCGTTATGGTAGTCTGATCCTTGGTTATCATTGCAGAACTATGGCGGCGGAATGAGACCTCCACCCAACTCAATAGGCCCCGGCATGCCTGGAATTAACATGTAAGACGCAGAGCTTCTTCTTCCCAGTGGGGCTGGGTGTGTGTGTGTGTGTTCAAGAGAGCTATTTTGACAACTGCTTTTAAGCCAGAAGGATGACATGTCCCTCCTCCCCCTCATAGTTTGTAGTCTGTCATGTGTTTTTGATGTATTACCATCTCCTGTGATGGAGGGTGTGGCTAACCAGTCGGCTTTTCTGGCCTCTCGCAGGGGTCCAGGAGCAGGAAGACCGTGGCCGAATCCTAACAGCGCTAATTCAGTGAGTATGGGAACGTTTCGAATTGCTCTTCTTCGTTCTCTCTCTCTCTCCTGTCGCTGCTGGCCGGTTTCCGGAGAGCACGACAAAACGCCATCCCGGAATCGCACGCGGTTTAGCGAAGGGACTGGCAGTGAAGGTAGTGTTGTGCCTGTAGCTCGTCTGCCAGGGGTTATATATCGAGTGAACTGTGACGGTGGGGAAAGAGACGAAAATGCAGCATTGCATCCCGTCTGATCCGGATAATGAGAACAGATCACATGGAGGAGCAGTCCAGAGCTGCCATTCAACCAAGAGCCAATGCCTTTCTTACTGCTGTCTATTTAAATGGAGCCTCCTGTGCTAAAACATAGCAAATCTTTACTGAAAAGATGAAGATCAGTGTTGTTTTTTTACGACTGGGGGGTAATCGAATTAAAAATCTTTCATGGTAGGTTTTCCTGGATAGCAGCAGAAATTTGCCTTTGACATTAGTTGTTAAACTCTGTGATTAAAGTGTCATTAAATGTGACAGAATATATCCATTCTTAAGGGTTTTAAATAAAATACACATTAAGTCACAGTCTATTCATGTGCTTTTCATAATTCTTTCCTTATTCATCATGAATTAATCATGAACATCCACATCCAAAGTGTTATCACAATTTCAAATTAAATATTATAATTACACTACAATTGGAGAACATTTGTCTTGATTGTGCGGTTGTTTATATTGATATTTTACTCTACAGTACTGTATATCCCACACTGTAAACCGTTTAAAACCACTTTCGCTGTCCTTCAACTGTCATTCAATAAAAATATTACAGCTGACAATATTGTTTTGTTTCGCAAAAAACGAAACTAAAAAATGCCAGCTCCAATTGTTTTGTATCAAGTGACATTAATACTTTATGTGAATATACAAATGAATTCAGTATCCCTTATTACTGGCAAGTTCAACTGAGTTTCTTGTACTGAGCGTATTTTTTTCTGTTTTACTTACAGATCCCATATTCTTCATCATCCCCAGGCACATATGTGGTAAAGAGTTTTATGTTTTTTTACTTATTTTTGGGGGAAAAAAAACAATGCATTTGTTTTGTTCTCTGGGCAACGATTTAAAAATATCCTTCGACTTTGAGCAGGGACTTTATCCCAGCTGGAGCTGGGTTCCAGTTTGCTACAGTGTCACAGGGACCTGCGGTCTCTGCTCTCTGTTTCAAATACCTCCTGACAAATCAGTTCCCTCTTGCTTATTTCTGTAACGGACTGACTGGAAGTGAGGTGGCTTGTACAAGCCAGCAGGAGTGATACTGGGCGGAGGTGGCCAGTTGATTTCAGTGAGTTCTGGAGCTGGGGAAAGAGGCTCAGCAAGCCTCATACACCCAGACCGCTTGAGAGCAGCGCCGCTGTTCCTAGCCAGTAATCAAGGAGCGACAACAGAAACCTTGAAAACAAAATGCGATTTTGTGTTTTTCTTTGTCTAAAAATAAAATGGTGTTTAATTATGGGAAATTGTTGTGGCAAAACGTAATCATCTGGTCACAGAGCGCAGAGCGTGTGGCCCTCTCCCCCTTTCCTTCAGTGTAAACAGGGCAGTGAGCGTCTCGGCGGTGCAGTGCGTCGGGCAGTTAGGCCGGGACCCGTGCTTGGCCGGGGGAACAGCACTGACGTTGTTGCTGACAGCAGCAGCAGGAGGGGCTGACCTATTGCAGGGCGGGCTGGGCGACCGGCAGTGACACGCGTTTCCTCTCTGTCCACAGGGCCCCCCTGGTGGAGGAGGACCCCCCGGCACGCCCATCATGCCCAGTCCAGCAGGTAACGGCTCTTCTTCGCCCGCCTCGCCCGCCGCTCTGATGAATTGCCCTCGGAGCCGGGTTCTGCACAAGCAGGCAGTCCACTCGGGGCCGGAGAGAGAGCGAGCTATGAGCATTCAGAGCAGAAACGCTCAGCGGTTGGGGGGGATGGGTAAAATCACTTGCAGGTGCCATGCGCATGAGGGATCGTAAGGGGACATGGCATGCCCACCTGTTAAAGAATGCCGAGTCATGCATTTTATAATGTAATGGCGTCACAGTTGGAAATATCCACTTGGCTCTTCAGAGCATCGAAAGTCCCGGTGCCTCTGTGTGGGCTGAGCACAGGGATTCCAGGACTAGGAGCTCCTTCCTGTGGCCTGACAAGAAAGAAAAGAAGTCGAGCTTGACGTTTCGTGCAAAGAACCGCATCACAGACTGTGTATATGTAACCTTGTACAGTGGAGTGTCTTCGGGTGCTCGTTTTAGAGATTGCTGTTGGCCCAGGTAGATTTATTGATTGCTACAGAATACACGGTGAATCCCAAGAAAAAAAAGACTCCTCACGATCAAGTGTGAGAGTTTGGCAGGCTCCATGAGATTTCCATATCTCATAGAGGGGGTCTTCCCCTCCTCCTCATCATCTCCGCAAGTGCACTGCTTGCAATGAGACCATTGTTTTTAAAGAAAATCATCTGATCAAGATTCATCAGGGTAACAGATTTTGTGTTGTATTTTTGTACATCATGCTTTTGGTCATCTGTTTTTTTTTTTTACAATATTTACAACAGCTAGTTAATTTTTCTCATTGACCCAATGTGCAGTAGTTGTGTTTTTTTTCACATCTTAGTTGTGAGTCCCAGACTGCACGCAGATTGAGGAACGCTGGGCAGACTCTCTGGACCCTCCCAGTTTGAAACCAGTGGTCTGTTAATGTCACTGTGAAGTTTTATTGTTTTGTTTTTTTTCGGGACCCTCAATGCCTGTATCATACAGCTCAGCCTGCGCTGAATTGAGCACCCCTCCAGATTGATTTTAATCGTTTTTTTGTTTATTTTTCGTTCTGATTTTTGGAGCGTCGGTAAAGGGAATACAATGACGCAGTTAAGTTCTTTCCCAGGTTGGGGTAAATGCAAGTATTTGACCTGTTTGGCACGTCCTCTCTCTCTTTGTGTGTACACTTGCAGATTCCACAAACTCCAGTGACAACCTCTACACAATGATTAATGCTGTACCGCCTGGTGGAAACAGAACAAATGTGAGTGGTCCAGCTCTCCCTCGACGAAATGGAATTATTGCAGCTGCTGTACGGTTGTATTTTATTTTATTGAAATTAACCAAAAGACACGAACAAGAAGATCTGGAAGATCCAGTTTTAAGTGTTTTCCACAATGTCAGAAACCTCCCCTGCTATAGGCATGCTGCAGCGCAATGGAACTGCTGCTTCTTTAGTCTGGAAATGGGGGGAGGATTAGGAATGCTATCAGGATTTCTCCACTGGAAAAATCCCACAGTGTGCCCTGTTATACAGTATTAAAATCTCGTGCCGACTCCCCCCTCGGTCAAGCAAAATGACAGATACGGGATTCTGAGATCAGTAACCCGGTGATGTGTGGTGGACAGGAGTGTCATCTTAAAAAGTGACAAAGGCCGCAAAGTGGCTGCGTTTTCACCTCCCGGTCACCGAGATCTCCCCCCTTGAACCCCCGCGGGGGGCAGAGGGGGGCGCTAGAGCCTAATTGAGTCGCTCCCTGGGGGGGTCAGGGGTCACTCCTGCCGGGCTGTTTGTCAGGGTAATGTGTGCCGTCTGCACAGGGGGCGTGGCGTGACCCGGCTCTCTCTCTCTCTCGCTCCCTCAGTTCCCCATGGGCCCAGGCTCCGACGGCCCCATGGGTGGCATGGGGGGGATGGAGCCACACCACATGAACGGATCATTAGGTAAGCCAAGCCTCTCGGTGAGAGCCAGCGGAATTTAATAAAGCAGATGCTAAACACAACATCAATGCTATTGATCTGAAATGTAAGCCTGTGATGAGGAGGGAGTTGTTCTCGCTAATAGCACTGCCTGCTTTTTACTGCAGGAATTTATCCAATTTACAGACACCATTTCTTCATTGAAATAAAGAAGGACTGACGCAATGTGAATTGTATCCGTTTCTCCGTCAGTGTGTGCATTTTCACTTTTGGGCATCATTAATAACCGTTTTAAACAGCCTAACGAGCTAGATGGAGCCGAAATGGCCTCCTTGTTTGTTCTGCTCTGAAAAAACAAAGCTATAATCTGGGAAAATAATAACTTCTTTTTTTCTCCCGATTCACGCAGGGTCAGGGGATATAGATGGACTTTCTAAGGTAATATTTTTTTCCCCCATCACTGATTGTCATTGTAAACGTCCTGGGTGTGCGCAATATTTTTATGGCGGCGCCTGGAGTACCACAGGCTTGTGGTAGGCCAGCCTGTATTCCTGAAACCTGCACGTATTTGATATGTCAGCAGTTAAAAAAGTGAAGGTGTGCGGTGCAGTGCTTCGGATTTTATGTGTTTTCTAATAGCGGTTTGAAAGATTCTGCCGTTCATAACGCTCTGGGCCCATATCGATCTTGCGCTTGTCTTGGTCCTTGCAGAATTCTCCCAACAACATAAGTGGCATTAGCAATCCACCCGGGACCCCGCGGGACGACGGCGAGCTGGGGGGCAACTTTCTCCACTCCTTCCAGAACGATAACGTGAGTACTGGGACGTGTCCCCCTGGCAGACGACTGTCCCACGTGTGCTTGGGCCCAGAGGAGAGGACGGGACGTTTTTATCCCAGCCGATCGAGTTTATGACACGTACTCCTCATCGGTCTGTTTTGCTTGACAACAGTATGGAAGTTTGTCTTGAGGGCCTGAGAAGAATTAGCTTCTTTATCTGTCAGGCTGTCATATGAAGGTATTCTTCATGTGAATGGACAGGGGTTAGATCGTATTTCTGTGAACAAATCCTAGGAGCCTAGGAAAGGTATTTCATGCAAACGGTGTACGTTATTGGTTCTGTATTCAAACAGTGAGGAAGTACAGGTAGCTTATGAAGGGAGTGGTGTACCTTGTGTTGGAGGTTCATACCAGAGGGCGCTGTGTCTGCTCAAGAGCGACCATAACCCTTTTCCAGAACCTGTATTGGAACGTTCTGGTGAAGTATATGGAACACTGTACTGGATCTAGAAATTTCAAATATTCAAATATTAACACTCAATTAAAAAAAAAAAGGAGGGATCAAGTGTGTATTCATGTGAGAGCGAGGCTCTGTTTCTAGTAAGAGTCTGTGCATACCAGCCATAGAGTGATATCACTCCGGAAAAGTAGAAGCTCAACTAAATGCAACCACTTCGGTTTTGAACATTTTTGTGTTCCCTAATCACGAGCCTGAGGTGCAGAACTCAAAAACATATCGTGAGTTGTTGAGTGTGGTGGCATGTTGGCACAGTGCTCAGCATTGGTTCCTTGCAGCGCTGGGGCCCTGGGTTCAAATCCGGACTTGGGATGTAGTCTGCATGGAGTTTGCATGTTCTGCCTACGTTCGTGTAGGTTTCCTCCCACTGTCCAAAGGCATGCTAGTAGGTTAATTGACAACTGGGAACATTGAACCTGGTGTGGGTGGGGGTGGGGGTGTCCTTTCTTGCTCCAGTGAGTTGCCAGTTTGGGCTCCGGCTCCCCCAGTGAGAAAAGGGATGGACGGACTTCTTAGTGCTCGTTATCTCTGTGATGGCTTCGAATGTAGAGCATTTTCAGGGGGTTCTCATGTACTGCAAATACGTTACCTCCAGGTGAGCAGCCTCGCCGCTGCCACCCTGTGCTCCGTGCTGTGCGCTCGTCTTTCTGTGTGGAACAGCTGTCCTGTGTTGATGTCTTCCAGTACTCTCCCACCATGACGATGAGTGTGTGACTGCCCCACCCCCGCCCAGGACAAGAAAGAGTCAGCCATCGCTTGGAAGATAACCATATGCAAGAAGCAGTGTATCCGTTCGACAAAGAGCCGAGGAAGCACCCTGAATTTAGTTTCGCGCAATAACCAAGGACAAAAACATGGCTGAACTTCTTGTGTTCCATAAAACATGAAGGACAAAACTTTTTCAAGACGTGACAAAACCAGCTTCTGGAAGGATTATATACATACATGATGACACATTTTTAGTTACTTTTATTTTTTTTCCCATCCCCCCCCCCCAGTTATAATTTTTTTTTCCCTGAGCGCAAAAAAAATAAAACGGAAAGCTGACTCGACCTCTTCTGCTTTGTTCTTGAAAACTGTTGTCTTGTCTGTGCCGTGCCGAGCGGGGCTGATAGTCTAGATTTCGAGAGGTCCATTCGTGTCGTTGCTACGTTTTAAACTGGACAGTCTGCACGTGCGCTGTGGATTGGTTTTGAGAAGAAAAAATGGGACAGTAGGCAAGTCTTTTTTCCCCCCAATAAAGTCGTTCCTTCATCCCAGCTACAAGGTGTCTCTCAAGAAAGACATTTCTCAAAAACACACTTCTCCTTGGAATTCTCTGTTATGAACTCTCAGAAGATGCCTTGAACTTGGGGAATCTTAGTTTTTTTTATTATTTCTTTTTGATTTTTTTTAGATTAACATGAAGATCCTGCATACTGGACCTTGTGTGGGAGAATTCTGCTTTGAAAAAGATCCCTTTTACTAGGTTTAATTTAATTCTGTTTGTATAACTCCTCCAACATAAGTGCAGTAGATGCTTTCAAAGAATCCGCCTAAGTCTGCATTTACTGTAAAGTGGGCTATTTGGCTGAGGGTGAGAAAGAATGATCTCCCCAGCACTGCATTTGTCGACTTTCATTTGTATTTAAATGTTAGGTTCTGACTGCTGTTTTGTAGACATGCTCTGTTCAAAAGGAAGAAAACCCTCCATTCGTCAGGGGGGGAGTACAGAAAATGACACAAACCCTGTTGTACAGCGACATTGTGTGAAAGCTGGGATCTATGTACAGTACACTACCTGTAGATGGTCTTTTTTTAAGCCCACTTCTATAAAAAAAAAGTGTATCATGTAATGTATAAAATATTATCTGCCTGGACATACCTTTGTGCTGATTCTCGAACATTGTAGCTGTTTCTGTGTTTCTTACCTTGTAGTATGGTTATAATGAGAGACAAAGTAATTATTATACATTGTAGTTTGTGTTCAATATTTGTTGCTAATATTTTATCAAGGGATGATCCCCTCCCCCTCCCCAAAATCCCTGTTTCTGAACCCCAAAACCCTCTCTTCCTGATTTATTTTTATTCTACTTCTAATGCCAGATTTGTATTGATTTCTTGCTGCAGTTAGAGATATTTCATACTTTTTAAATAGTGAATTATTTAAATGTATTTTTATGTCTTTGCTTCAACTAGGCATTTCACCGTGCTTAGCTTAGGGTATTCGAGAGAAAGTATGGCAGCCTCACGACTGCAGTAAGAATAGAAAATGCAAAAAAAAAGGTTTTGTGGTATTGCTGTAAGCCTTTGGTCTTCAGGACGCTTTTTTTTAAGCGGAGAATTGTTCGCTTGGAAATGTAATTTTACAATAACTAAATTATTTGTCTTCATTGGTATGGGATGGTTTTTTTTTTTTGAATGAAACAGTTCCCCAACCCCCACCCTCTCTCTCTTCTTCCCTCCCCACACTGTAATAAATATCAAGATGAAACGGTCTTCATACTGGTTTGCTTCTGGAAATGTTTGCTCCTAGGCTGTACTGTTAAGACGTTCTAAAATATTGTGTTTTGGACCAAAACAACGGTGGAAATCCAACTGTTTCCTGCGGTATGTGAAGAGGATTCAAGTAGAGAGCCGCTGTGATCGTCTGTAGTGCCACGGTTACTCTCGCTGGCCAAAGGCTGACCCTTCTGACCCCTTAGCTGACTGATAAATGTATCTGGATTTGTTCTATAGGAGCCTGTGGAGACCAGATACGTGGCAGATGGGAAAACCGTTTCTCTATGCTGCCACCTGCCATCGTAGCCTTTTATTGCAGTTTGTTGGAGGTGGAAAGCGGTGTTTCATAGATGTACTGCCTCTGGGTTACCAGTTTATTTCTCAGGTTATGTTGCTGTTGTCGTCTCTGGGATCCTGCCCTGCACCGGCGAACCACGCTGTTCGGGTTGCACGCTGCCTGGCTCAGACCCTGCTTGGTGCCATGGTGTCCTGTGAAACCCAGCGAGGGTCCGGTTTCTCGGAAACATCTGGGCCAGTGCAGGGGAAAAATCAGTCCCCAGTGTTAATTACGCTCCAGGCCTTTCTAACAAACTGTATGTGGGAGTGGAAGCAAAGTGGGAACTGGCACAATTTCAGCAGTGCGTTGTCACTTTTCCCCCAGTCAGAGCAAGCCCAGTGCTGCAGTAAGTGTGATGATTAACCTCTCCAGCATGATGGAGCAGCAAGCCGTCTGTAACCCAGTGGCCTTCACTTAGAAGGCCGCTGTGCACAGCACAGTGTGAACTCGTGATGTGACCTAGAAGAGGAGTGAAAAGGGCTGGTCTATTACAGTTTCGTTTACTCCTGTCAGTATGAAGGAAGTGTCACATTTCTTCATGTAACTCAGATGAAGTACTTTGTATATGATGATGATCCGTTGCCTTGTGACTGTCATGAAAACATTCGGCGTTTATTAGAAAATGAAAGGAAAATGCTCTTAAACCTTTAAATGCATTAATTCTGTTGGAGACAGTGATGGATCAGTTTAATTACATAGGATGGGCCTATAGGGTGCTGATGGGACTGGTGTTCTTGTAAGTAACTACATGCCTGAATTATTTATTCCCACTATTAGGCTTGATTGTTTTTTACATTGTAAATGAAAAGTTATTTAAGTGCTTTTGAAATAGATCATTTAAAAGTCTGTTAATGAGGGTGTTGGTAAGAACCATATCTGTCCAGTGCTCTTTTTTTTTTCAGCGACTGGGGTTGAAGGCCATTTTGCAAACAATATAATTCCAGTAAACTTTGTAAAACATAATCGCCCATAACAGATCCCCCTACCATTAAAAAACAACTTGGCAAGAATGGAAAAAGACAAAGAATTATAAGCTTTCATTTTCTCTTTATTTTGAACCTGATGTGTATTGTAAAAGTCACAGAGACAAATGCAGATCGGTTCTCCAGACAGTGGCGAGAGAAGATGGAATAAATCGGACGTCTCCATCACTCCGATCGCACAGTGGTGTATATCCAAGCAACGAGCAGTGCCCAGGAGTGAAGAGGGTGGAATTTCACTGGCCACTCACACGGCTCCGTGCAAGTACAACGCAAGGAATTTCCTGAATGTGTTGGGCTGATATCCTGATAAGCCAGCAGGAACCTTAAGAGACGGAGAGATTTACTTACACTATGTATCAGGTAACACTGGTCTCTACTAAATATTCTGGGTGTTTTCTTCTATATATCTACCTGGCATTTTAAATGCACAAGATTAAAATTACACTCTGTACAGTGTCGCTTGGGTTGTATTCGTTTACAAGGATTTAAAGTAACTTGGAGCTAGCAAACCCCAGATCCTGCGAAATGTACCAGCTAATGCAGTGATTTTGCTCACTGGTGGTTGTGCAATATATACAAGTTCATACATTTAACCAGCCCCTATAGTTCTGTTCATGAAGAGGGATTTTCAATGCATAGCATCCTTCTGACTTAATAGGGAAGCCTTTGTAGATGCAATACTGTACTGACTCATCATTGTTACGTGGGACAGCCCCCTTGTGATCATGCAACAAACTAGCATGTCCTTTTCAATCAATTGGAGGACAATACACTGTCAATAAATCTCATTATAAAACAGCAGTAATGTGCAGCAAGTAAAACTTCACATCTAAGTCACACGGATCCTGTCTTAAACCCTTTGTGCTATTTTACACAAAACAAGCTCTAGTTTTGAGGTGGATATTTCCCATAGCCCAAATCTGGATTTTTAAGGGAAGAATGGTTTGGAATAATTAATTTTCCAATTCCATGGTGTCTGCCAGATTGTATTAAACAAAAGCACTGATTCCACAAGTTCTTATAGATATGCCCAAGGCAAATATAAGATTCCCTTTTCAAACAACAGAGCATAAAGTAATTTTCCTGATGGCATCTTTGTAGCAGATGCACTGCCACTGTAATGAAGAGGAATGACTGGTAAACTCGTGAATTTGCTGCTTAACATTTGTCATCAACGGGGTCCACTGTGAATATCGCATACTAATAGTGTCCTGTATGTGGAATCGGTGCAAGCTATACCCCTGCGACACAGGTGCTGTCTTGTGGGATTCTGTCCCATCCCTCCCCTACAGCCTGGACAAGCACATGTGAGCCCTAGACGCCCGCTGTTCCGGCTGGGAAACTGTCACATTAAGATTAGCTTGCAGGGAGGACAGCCTGTGAGATCCCAGGACGTAATCAGCAGACTGTAGCTCCATGCAGTCAGGTTACCATCAGCTACCCCCATCTATAGCTCTGTAATGACCGGTCCTGCCCCGATCATCACAGTGGGATTCTCAACCGTAGTGGCAAGGCCCTGGACTGGTGCTCTCCCAGACAAAGGCCTCAGGGCCAGGCTGCTTTTCACTTTCCCTGTTACATAGTGCTGGCTGTGGATACCCTTGAGCCCTTGACGTTATCCCACCTCTGACATAAGCATGCAGGGAGGTGTTGCTCTCCTGATAAACAGGGCACATCGGTTCCCTTCCCCCTACTCTTGATTTTTTTTCACCGGGATTGACATTTAACAGATTAAACCACCGCATTACCTAGACCCAGTCAGCTCCCTACGGAGGTGATCTGGCACTACTTCTGCCGCAAAGTCCCTCGCGTGCATCGTGAACGCGAGAGATTTAACGACCGAAGAAAAAAACATTTGAATGCCAAAAACACTTAATCGATATTTAAAGCCTGTCTACTTCCTTCTTCTAAACAAAACATACACAGGGAGAAGGATGTTTCTCCTGCTGCTGAGCATGGGTAGACCATACCTCAACAAGCAGAAGACGTGAAGAGCATAACCCATACCCCTTCAGCCTGGCTTCTGCGGTTAAACCGAATCAAGTGGGATCATCAAAAGGGTTTTTACTTACTTTGACGACCTTCTTCTTAATCAGCGGGAGGCATTTCGCGTAGTCGTAAAGCAGCTGATCCTGATCCACCCACGCCAGGTTTTTCACACCTGTGTCCGGGCTCAGCTCCGTGGTGTTGAGCTGGAACACGACGAACTGGAACAGTCGGCCGTCGGTGGCTATGCTCTGCACCACGATGGGCTGCTCCAAGATCCGGGGCTGATCCTGAGTGCAGAGTAAAAAAAAAGGCACCCTTCTCTCTCTTTTCTTTCACCCTGCACAAATCCCTGTGAACATGGATAGGAACGTGCAGACTCCACACAGAAGGAGCAATAGTCTAGAATCTAACCCCGGACCCAAGAAGCTAGGAGGCAGCAGGGCTCCTTTTTCATGTTTTTTGTTCCTCAGTAGCTGAAACACGGATAGGTTTTCATTAAATCATAAGTTCTAAAAACGAGCTCAGTGGAGCAGGACAGGTGATCCCTTCTGCACAAGCCACAGCATGCAGGGATGCACCTTCCTACACTGCTCTACTCCTGCTGAAGAGCTGCCCCCCACCCCTCTAGACCTCACTGCAGCCACAACATCCTCTTGCAGGAGGAAGTTCACTGTCATCCCTTCTGAAAGGGATGAAAAAAGCCCTTCACTCAGCACTGCACGCAGGTGTTCTCCACGTGTTCAGCGCGCAGCCTGTGTTTTAACAAGTACTATTGCAGTTGCATTTGTCATCTCTTTCATGGTTTCCAAAGCAGAATTAAAGGCTGTCCCATCCTTGACCTACAGGAAATGGTGTTAACACACAAGGCTGAGAGAAAGGGCTCCTGGATGGCACCTGGCCTCTGCCACCCATGTATAAGCCAGCTACTTGCATGCGCTGCAGTACCTACCCCATAGAGAGCCTGGGCCCTTGCCAGCGCGTTCCCGAAGGCAAACATGACCATCTTGGCACGGAGCTGCTCCGGCCTCAGCCGGAGCCCATCCTCGCCCGCCTCGCAGAAGAACACCGTGTGGGCGTGGGGGTAGGGGTAGCCGTCTCCGAACCCTGCAGGCCGGACAGGGGGTCAGGGGTTAGACCTCCTGCAGAGACGAGGCCTCCTCCGTTCCCCTGTGCGCAGGGGCCTCCGTTGGCCAAAACAGAAATCTCTGATCGGGGATTAAATGCACCACTTTTGCTTTGAAATGCTTTGTACAAAAACAAGGGAGTGTTTCGCTCATGTGTGAAATGTTTGGTTAACTAATCTGCTTCAACATCAAGGACCTGTAAGAATCTCGGGTGTAAAAACCTCTTCAGAATTCCTCGGAGAAGAAGAGCCTTTTCTCAGGGTGCTGACTCTAGAACACAGACTTGATCCAAGTGTACTTAATCATACGGGGTAGAGAGACAAGGACAGGGGGTCCACATGGGAAACTTTAGGGGAATTCATTTAGGATAGAGACTGGGAAACACTTCATTACCCAAAGCTACAGGCTTCCCAGCCAGGCGTGTGAGGCCCAAACTCTGGGCTCCTCTAAGAAATGACTGGACGAAATTTCACTTTCACTTGGCTACTCAACCCAACGCCCAGACCAGCAATATGGGCGCCACTTGATTGCAAACTTCTCCCCGTGATCTTATCGATGGCTGGATCTAAGCAATCCAGGTAAAATGCATTAAAAAAAAACATTTGTAGAATCTTTTATTTTTCTCTGTCAATCGTAAAAGCTGAGCGAGCAGGTGGAAGACCAAGCCCAGATGACTTGTGTGCAGATGTTGAGAGGCTGCAGGAGCAATCCCCTACCCGTGTGGCTCTTCTCCTGGCAGACGTGCACGCGCTGCAGGTCGATGGTGGGGGAGATGGGATAGAAGGTGTCCAGAACGTGTTGCTCAGTGCCCAGCACCTCCTCTGTCCCAGCGATCACAGGCAGCGGAGAGCTGCTGTTCAGGAGCAGCCCATTCTGTCCTCGGACTTGGAAGAGATCGGCATCTGTACAAAATTCAGACACAGCCCTGATTCCACCACTTGCCTTCAGAGACTGCAATAAAACTCATTTATTGCAATAAAAACAGGTTAAAATCTGTGATGCTCCCAGGCAGAAAAGGGAATAAAACGTTTTTGTGTGAAGCACAAATGATGCCTAGTTTGAATTTATTTTTGCGTACTTTACAGATCCAAAGAATCATTGACTGTCACTTGAGATTCCCTCCTCTTACTAACGGAGAGCACACAGATATTTATGTCCTTGAGCTGCAGTCCCATATAAGCACATCTGGTTTACTGGGCAGTTCTCGCATATCTGAAGAGTTTTAAAGCTGTGTAATTAGGAATGAGTTTAACTAGTTTTTATTTTGGCATTCAGATACCTAAGAAGCATCTATTTAAAAACTAATTCACACCAGACACAACACACTTGTCTAGAATGGAAGAAAATATGCTTCAGTATTTCTCATTCACAAAGCAGGAGAAAGTGGGGAAGTTCTACATTCAAAGTAGTGCAAAAAGATGAGGGTATAATCTACAACCTACAACAAGCATATAAATCTGATGATGATAACACCATTCATTTTCTAAAACATTTTCTAAGATAGACCCTGGATTTTGTGCATTGCTCATCTTCTGTCCAGTGTGAAATATTCTTAACAAAAGTACAGGTTCTATTGATTTTACTTCTCCACTGCTTGTTTCCTGTCTTTGCACACTGTTTAGTACGAACAGGCCATTTACTGTGCAACGCCTGAAGTTCAGTTATAGCATTTCTGAAACACAAGCAAACCTCTGCTCCAACAGGCTGACAGAGTGTACTTTTCAGCCAGCATCCTCTTGGACAGTGAAGGGTGTTTGAACTGTAAGGTTCCACACAGGTGCAGTAGGTTCCTCAGCAAGACTGGACTGCAAAACAGACAAGTGTAGCTTGAGAGTCACATAGCTGCAGGGTCCCCCAGTGCACGTAAGGAATCAAAGCCTGTAATAACCTGGGCATCAGCACAGTGGTCTCCTAGCACAGTCTTAACGATCTTCCTGTGATGAAGTCTTGGGATGGGAGTTTAATTTTCTCTTTCTCTTACCGGGCGTATAAACAGCACGAACAGAAAAATAACCGTATTTTTTCAGTTTTTTTTGTGAAAGGTTCTTCTAGCTTAGCTCAGCCAAAATCCTTCCCATCTGGTCGTAAGATGAAAAGAAGACTAGGAGGGGTCAGTTCCAGAATTGATGGTAGTAACTGGTTAGGGATGAATTGAATTCAGATTCCCTGAGCCTGTGTTCCCCCAGTGACAGACTGGGTGTTTCTTAAGGATCTAATTATCATTAAAGGAATAAAAAAATTCACAGGGCTCAACCATCATACTTTGTTCATAAGTGATGAAATTCCATTTGTGTTTCTGCAGCTCAAGACTAAAGGCAGTAGTGAAACAGCTGAAGGAGGATCTCGGCCATTAATGAAAAACAGAAACACTGGGAAGGCACTGCCAATTATTAGAAATGATTTTTACAGCCATTTAAAAATACGCTACGGTGCCAATTTTGTTTTTTAAAAAAAGCTATCCTTCGAATCGAATCAAAGACGGCTTCATTTCTGTTTACTGTATATTACGATTAATGATCAAAGCGGGACTCTTATTCGCACATGAAGATGGGACGTGACATTTGGGTTTTTTCCATTAATGCTCCCACCTTCGCATGAGGCAGAAGAAGAAATAAAAGAAATGTTAAGCGATACAACACCTCTGTGATAAAAGGCAACTCTCTGTGCTATAAAGGGCATCCTTCCCAAGACGTAATGAGCGATATCAAAGCCTTGGCAATGCCGAAGGACAAGATCAGTAGAAGGGGCTCTTTAAGCAAAGAAATCCTGCCCTGCTGTGTGCTGCATTAATTAGTAAAAACCTTATTCGGACAGTCCCACTGAGAAGACGACTGCCCTGCATTTACTGATGGTCATTAGATTTCACTTTGTCAATATCCCCCGCGGAGCAAAATGTCACATTCCACATTTAAACCAGAGAAGTGATTAAGCCTTTTCAAAGACCAAATGAAAGATCAAAAAGCAGAAAGGTTCCCCAGAACAATGGCCGATATTAAAGAAACGGCCTGGAAAAACATCTTTCTTCAACAATCCCGTCTTCTGCAGCATTCTAGACGATGGAGTGGTTTTTATTTTTTGTGTTCCATCAGTCCCATTACGCGTTCTTAAATATGAGTAATGGCACGCACCCCCAAAGCGAAACTGACCCAACGAGATCAGTCACGCGGAATTTTGGACTCACCAGAACCTCTCTCTTGTGGGCCGGGTTTTGGTGGTGTCCCAGAACCGGGCGTGGCTGATTGCTTGCTGGACTCTCTCGTCCTGGTCCTCAATCCGATTGGCTGGGTCCTCAGCCAGACAGAGGATCTGTGGTGGCAGCCCTTGTATCAGCTTGGCCTTGGTAAGCCACAGTGCTTGTCTAACACCTACCAACAGACAGATGGACAGACAGACAGAACGTCACTCCAGACGAGAGCCTGGCCACACTGGACACCCTCACTGGGTATATTGACTAAAACCAAACGGAGCTCTACTCGGAGATAGCTGCAATACTAACAGCTTACACCCCAGACAGACTCTTACAACCCTCCGTAGTTGTCCCGACATCATTTTCATACCATGGAAGGATCCATAAAAGATGCCACATGTCCCCAACACTGAGAAATGAGGGGCAATTTATTCCCCCCTCAAAAAATAACACTTCCCAAAATGGGACAAGTTTCCCCAAAGGACACGCATTTTACTACGGCTCTCACAAACGTTCATCAGTGCGTCAACCAATTATACTAATGAATGCAAAACACTCACAGTGCAGTGTTAACACAGTGCGTTTTGACGTTGTATTTACATAAACGAATTAATATGAACTACTTCTGGTACTTAATCAACAAGTGCTTAATTTACGCAAATACGCAACTAGGGTGCAGTTACAGTATAGCTTCTAATATATTAGCCCCCGTTAGCCGTAATACCGATTGAAAACAGATCACACCATTTATTTAGCGGAGTTTTACGTAGATCAGTAACAAATGAAGCACGTTTGAAGAAGGTTTTACTATATCATTCATAAAATGCAGTACAGTTATGATTCCCTAGTTGATCGCACAGACATCAGCGGTACAACAAAACGAGAAACAAAACTATTAATGCTGATCGTAGTAGTTATTTTTGTAAGAAAATATTAATTCACCTTCTAGGATGCTCGTCCTCTGGTGGAATATATAACAGGGTTTGTCCTTGTACAGCGGCATCTCCTCATACTTGGGCCCCATGTAATGGTAAGGATCGTGCCAGTCCCGGCGCCAGTGCGAGAATACTGGTTTTGCTAACCCGGGGACATAGTGCATCCTGTCCGCGTAGGTGATGCGCTCCAATCCGGGGATATCAATAACCTTCTCCTCTTTACTTTGCGGTGGTCCCCTAGAGAACAGACAACGGCAAGTGGAGAAGAACCGGCGCCTTGAAAACTCATCTCGGCAAATCTGCGAGTAGACTCTGCCTCCCGGGATCTCGGCTTTTCTCGTTTTAAAAGTATTTAGCGTCACAATGGGTTCTGCCGCCCTAAAGCGCTGCAGAATCACTTTGGACATTTCAGATACCACTACAGCCTTCTGTTATAAGACAAAAAAATTTACGTGTGACAAGTGTGCTGTCCTGTAACCCTGTAATCACTGTACAGCACTGGAGGCGGCCATCTTGCACCGCCTACGGAATTGTGGGTAGCGCTTTAGTGAGGCGTAAGAAACCGTGAACAAAGTCTGTTTAAGCAGCGAAGTGTTGAATACGTTTTAATAAAAAACCTTTAGTCAAAAACACACAAACCTATGCATATATTCTATTAAAAATAAATATGAATACAATTATTGCAAGATTTAATTTAATTTAAAAGTTCCTGTTTAACAACACGTTTGATAGAAAATGCGGTATTTGCAGAAAATCCCTTGGAAATATCCCGTGATCATCAATGAGAGGTAATGTTGTCAACTAAAGTTTTGTGGGTTTTGTTGTCGTTTTAAAAAACAAACACAATTGTTTTAATTGTATTATGTTGGTTAATCGACAAACGAAGTATTTGGCTTTGAATCTGGAGAAAATAGCATTCAGTCTGCATGCAGTTGGTGACTAAAGTAGCGCAGATATACTGTTGTATATTGTCAATCACCTGAAGCCTTACGTACCGGTGTAACTAATGGAAATCTACGTCAAGAATAAAGACCAGTAAGTTATTTCTGTATACCAGAGACAATGTAAACATCACATGCACAGTAAAGACGATAGCAAAACATTTCATCTGGCCATAGCAATTGACCCCGGACTGTGAACTGAACATTGAGTTCAACTATAATTGGCGTAAAATGTAAAACGGCAACTAACTGAACAGCAGTGGCCGCAGTGTAGCTTCTGAGCACTGTGCGATGAAGCTAAAAATGTATCCCCTCGGCCGCCCCCCTGTGCTGCTTTTGCCTGCTCAGCAGATGCATCGCGAAGATGAGGAGGAGGAAGAGTCGGCCTGGGCCCGTTTGAGGCCGAGGGAGCCGCTGGTGTCCGAGTGCTGTGGCAGCGGCTGCCGGCCCTGCGTGTTCGACACCTACCGCCAGCAGCTGGACAGCTGGACCCGAGCCCGAGCCAGGGGCGACATCTCCCTGCTCCGCGGGGACGGACGGCCTGCGGTGGTAAAGGGTTGTTCCTGGGGCTCTTCTCGTTTCGAGCTGGGGTTGATAGCCATTCGCGGCCAGCTGATCATGTTTTTGTGTTTTTGTTTTTTTTAAGTCACATTAACTCGGCTTTCGCGTTGCGTAAAGAGGCATACTGTAGTCGCGAGACATGGAATAGATCAATGTAAAAACGTGGTCAAGGAATAATGATGCTAAACACAATCTTAAATGGTTCAGGATATGTACCCTGTACTTGTCAACTTGCCAGGCCTGCCTGCGGATAATGTCAAATGAGTTACAATCTTGAGTGCCACGTTCTTGATTGCCTGATATAATTGTGCCGCAGCAGTAGTTTCAAAGAGTGAGACGTTCCGTTTTCCCTTTGAGGCAGAGGAATGAGGCCATCCTGAGCACAGAGTCTTTCAGTGCCTTTCAGCTGGAGTCTGTGGAAGTATTGACTGAAGACACCTGCCTGTATAGATTCAAGCTGCCAGTCAGTGCCAGCCTGGGGCTAGGTTTAGGACAACATCTCGTGTTAAGGTAAGGTGTCTGAATGCTGACAGATTGAATCAATTAATGGGAGGCACTTAATCCACGTACTGGAACTGCTTCTTTCCAGTTTAAATCTTCGGTCAAGCAGTGGGCGCAAGGCAGGCTACACCCTGGACAGGACGCCAGTCGTCCCGCATGCGACACAAACACACAATCATACCAGGGCCAGTTTTCCCCGAAGCCAGTTCACCTACCAGTATGCCTTTGGACTGTGGGAGGAAACTGGAGCAGGTGTTAGCACTGCCGACTTGCAGAGCTGGGGTCCTGGTTCAGTGCTTGGAGTGCTGTCTGTGTGGAGTTTGTCTTTTTTTTAAAGAACAGGAAGTAAAACTTGGGACAGCTCTTCAAATTACAATGCTATAATTTATTAGGGAAACTCAAGATTCCCAGTGCACAGCAGTCTAGCCACTCCAGAACACAACTCCACCTGTACAGCAGGGCGGTCGCACAAGCAGTACCGACAAAGGAGAAAAGCAACAAAAATCAAAGTTCACAAGCTCCTCTATGAACACTCAGCCGAAAAGGTACAGAAGCTTTGCAGGACCCAGAAGTGGTGTTGGCGCCGATACACGAGCCTGCAGCTGGTTCGCTGTGGAGTGGATTAATCTGCAGAGCAATGAGGCCCAGGTTACACCCACATGATGCCAAGAGAAAACAGATCGATTCTGCACAGAAAAATATGTGTGTTCATGAGGGTTTCTTCCCACAGTCTAAACACATACTGGTAGGGTGTCTGTGTCTGCCCTGCGATGGATGGGCGTCCCATCCAGGGTGTGTCCTTGCACCCATTTCTTGCTGGGAGAGACTCCGTCTGCCCTGTGACCCTGTACTGGATAAAGCAGTTAAAAAATGGATGCATGAAGTCCTGTGTATTCCTGTACTCCGACAGTTTTTGGTTTTGCACTGCTTCGTTGTAAAGAAACATCCGAGGTGCTCTTGTAAAAAGGTGCTACATAAAACAAAGGATATCGTCGTTATCAGTATTCCTTGCAAATGATTAATTTTGGATTTCCAGGAGCGATGTCGAAGGCCTGCAGGTGCAGAGAGCATACACCCCAGTTAGCCCCGTCCATGCAGAGGGGTACTGTGAATTTCTCATCAAGGTAACGAGAAAAGCCTTCTCCTGCTGTGTTTGGATTCGCGTTCGTGTATTTTCAATATATGAAACCATTAAGCCATTTTTTTTGATGAAACACTCAAAAAGTATTCTCCAGTCTTCACGTTAGCGGAATACCTATCCTTTAACCGCACAAATTTTGAATGGGTGGGGAGGATCTGAGGAATTGAATTGACTGTGGAGCACAGGACACATTAAAAATGGAAGAGTAAACACAGGCAGGGGTGACTAAAGGCTGATTCAAAACACATTCACTTCAGCTGTTAGTTCATTTTTGCTCGTGTCTTATAAGCGGAAGGCTAATCACCCGTTTTATGTCCAGTTATTTGTAAACCCTCAATATGGAATGAATAAATAATACCAGATGGGTATTATCTCTTACTCTCAGGATGTGTTGCTGTTTGTATCTTGACGTTCCGTGGCAGTTCCTGCAGTTATTTTGTTTTCCACTCTCGCAAAAGCTCCGCCATGACGGGATGATGTCTCCGTACATAAAGACCTGGAAGGAAGGAGATCTTGTTGAGTGGCGTGGACCATTTGGGGGCTTTCCCTATGCACCTAATAAGGTTTTTACAATTCCGTTTACTTCGTTTCCATCACTAAAGTTGATGTTAAACCGGGATCTTTCCGTTGTAAGAATATTTCTCTTTAATGGAAGCACATTGGGTTGGCTGGTCTCCTGTCTGTCCGGAGTGACAGCGCAATGCTCTTGTGTTTTAGTTCGGACAGCTCCTGATGATTGCCTCGGGCACAGGCATAGCTCCCATGATCCCCCTGCTACAGCACATCACTGACAATGAAGAAGAGGAGACCTTTGTCACCCTGGTCTGCTGCTTCAGAACGTATAAGGACATCTATATGAAGACGTTTCTTCAGGAGCAGTCGCGGTTCTGGAATGTTAACACGTTCTTCGTGCTCAGCAAGGTGGGTGTGAGCTGCGGCAAATTTTCTTCAATGTACGTATTGCCCTTTCACTCCTATTTTCTCCTTTAGTTTTAATAATTGGGAATCACGAGTTGTTTCGCATATACCCAACCAAGTTGGAGTGGACAGTTGTCTTTAGATTCAGCTCTTTGGCAATTATTCCTATACACGTCCAACTGGAGAGCTCCACAGCACCTGACAGGAGAGTTAATGCTGATTGGAGGAGAGCACATCTCTCAGTGACATCACAGCAAGGCTGCCGGCACCTGGCAAGTTGCTGGATTTTCTTTTGCACTAAAAGCACTATGGTCTTGTAACCTAAGCCTACCCCTTTGCTAGCTGCACACTGCCGATCACAGTTAGCTAGTTAGTTATTTTTGCTATAGCAATTCCTAAATAGTATCACTTCAGCATATACTAAACACAGGTGGAAATGGTATAGTGAATGTCCTCTAATTTAACAGCCATTATTCTCAGTGATTTGGTTTTTGTAGACTGATTCGTGGAAGAGAGTAGTTTTCTTCTGAGTGGAGGTTCCTACAGTTTTCAGTCCGTCTTTTTTTGTTGCTGCTGCTGTTGTAGGTGGAAGCTGAACTGCTGCAGTTGGATAAGTCTCTTGTTTATCCTTCTGGTTTAGCAAGAAAGCCTTGACAGTCTTCCCTGGAGTTACCGTGAGAAAACTCACCTTGGCCGACTGAACTTGGACACGTTGAAGACTGTGGTGGAGTCTTGTAAGAAACCGCCGTTTGCACTGATATGTGGTTCTGTGACCTTTAATGAAGACATATTTAACTTTCTGAGGACCATTGGACTCAAAGAAGATTCCTGCTACAGGTTTTAAAATCAGGAGTGGTGGGAACTCAGTGGGGCAAATGGAAGAGCTTTCTGCACAAAAAGTCAAAGTCTCTAAGGTGTGCCTCAGGTCTCGTGATGTACACACTTTGTGTCAGTGTGGAGATGCATGTGCAATATAGTTTAAAATATTTTGCAGAAATGATTCAGGGAGGTATATCTCATGAGTGCGTGTTCCACTAAAATGTAAACAGGTTCCTCCAAAAACATTTAATTGCATTGGACAGTAATGGATCTGATTTTCTTCTATATGCAGTGCTGTGGTCATTTTTCCTGTTTTATGGTGTGATCCTCATTGTGTGTATTGTAGGGAGATCCTACAATAAAACAGACTTCTCAGAAAATGATTTTTGGCTTAAAGAACTATTCCTCACACTCTAAATTATACCTATTTATTATCTGTAATTATTGTATATAATTTATATTTAATATGTTTATGATAGGTGTGCTGTACATATTTATTATTACACGTGTGTGAAAGCATGTACAAATACATATGTACTGTATATCAACAGTTATTCATTGATATGCAGAGACCTAACATGTTCTTGGCCCTCAGAAGAATACTAAGGATGTACTGTGTTGGAGAAAAAAATATCTTTGAAGCTGCTTTACTGAACATTAATTACAATCTTTACTATATACTTGTTAAACGCCATGTTATTCTCTGAAGCACAGGAGCAGGGGCTTTCAAACATTTCCAAGTTATGTGATTTTTTTTTCTTGCAAAAGTCCCTTTCTCATGCTTGATTCGGGGGAGATGAAGGTGGACTGCGAATATCTTTTAAATTTTAATACCCCACATTCCTTTCTGCATAATAGAAACAATATTCTCCTTTTATTAAACTGTTGAAGCCCATATAAAGTCCTTTATTGGAGTGCTCAGTCCTGAGCCCTGAGGACATGAGAGCCAGCTTGAATAACAGAGCCCTGATTACAGCATTTCTCTTTATGAACAAATATCACAGCTGGGTCATTTATTAGACATTGGATTTTGCAGATATTTCCATATAAAAGCTGGCCGGCATTCTAGGGACTGAGGTAAACGTGCAGATGTTGTTTTTTTGTAAAAAAACACTGTACCCTATAAATTAGATCAAAATAATAGAACACAGGTTCCCCAAAATAAAAGCTTTTCTGTGCTCAACTTACGCCACCTGGGGTGAGTTATAGTCAGACCAAGCGAGTTGCTGCAGTTGAAAAGCAAGGTCAGCACAGTGAGAAGGGGAGAGACTTGAGTGGCTGTGCTGGTTCTGATTTGTCTCCCGGAGCACAGTGCACCTCACTCACAGTAGACGGCAAACACAGTGACCACGCAGAAGAGGGTGGGGTTCTCGTAAGTGCAGGAAGCAAAGCTGTCAGAGTGGGGGTCCCAGAGGCAGCGACTGGCCACCACCGCGTCCTCCCGGGCTTTCTTGCCCACGGTGACCACGCACACCAGCTTGTAGCGCCGGGGGCACACTGCCCTCACCAGCCCTCTGACCTCCTCGCTCAGCTCCTGGGCCAGCCCGGTGCACGGCCCGGCCTCGTAGGAGACTCCCTCCAGCCTCGACGCCAGGAAGCTCTTCACCAGCTGCTGGACCTTGGCGCAGGAGAACTTCTCCTGCGGCCTGGAGGATGTGGAGGGGACCTAGGCAGGCATCACAAGTGGGGTAAGCCGGGAATTACGTGTTGTTTTAGACCCTGATTGAATGCGCATGAACCCAGAACTATTCAGTATAACACAAGTGAATATTTAGAATACTATTGTCTTAAGGAAAGCCAGATTCTGAGGTTATCGACTCTCTGGTAGATGGTCACTTACTGCCACAGTTAAAAGTGCCACAATGGTATTCTAAACTTTACAACCTGTATTCTACCAGCCTGCAGTGAGTCTCCGCACTTTGTTCAATTTGTCATTTTCTTCTTGGGCTGCATTGTAGTCACAAAAAAGTGCCAAAGTGTGGATTAGTAAAAGCTATTCAAAAATGCTTTTTTTTTTAAACTGAAGGTTTCCAGCTTAAACCTAATTGTGAGTGGTATATACTACCCTCACCAGCTGAACGGTTTTCTGAGTAGTAATTAAGACTCATTTTGAGAAAGCCTCACGTACACAGGATCATTTGTCTAAATCGATGGAAACAGGCAAGCAAGGTTCTCAGGAATGCTTTGAGTAAGGACATCCATAAAAGACAGATTTTAACATTTTGGAGTTATTTAAATAAACGGTAGTACCGTCTTATTTTCTATTTATTTTCTTAATTCCATGATATCATATTTCTGTGTTTGGTATTTTAGATTTTCTAGACCAGATACTGATACTTCATATGTCTACTCCCGCAGGCTGGCCGCGGTATAACATACCAGATCTAATCTAAATGAGTCACAACCACAATAACCATCAGAAAACTAGCATCCTTCCATTTTGCATTATTCATTAATAATTATTCTCATGTGACATCTTTGGATGAATAGGCCTCTGCTACTTACGAAAATAAATCTAAATTTCGCTCATGAATGCTTTTTACCACTGGTAATTTGCATTAACATTTCATGTCAGTGGATCAATGTGCAGTAAGTGCTCCAACTGTTTCCTAAGGATTTCAAATCTTTTATTTGTGAATTTAATGAAAAGTGCTATGATTTGTGCAGAAATATATACTAATTAAAATTCAATAAAAACATGAGTGTTTTGCATTTTTAGCTCCCTGGACACATGCAATCATTTTATTTACATTTTTAATAGTGAGCAGATAGGTTCCAGGAGTATTGCTGATTGTTTCAGTAGTATTATTCCCTGGGACAATAAGTACTGAGCTAATGGTATGTGATCTTATAAAGGGTCTGGCTTCTGCGACTTACTCAGTGCACTGGGCCCTATAAAACTCAAAGTCTGGCACTTGATTCGTGTCAAAATGGCTGAAATTAGTTAAGCATATGCATGAGAAGCTGACCAGAAAGACATGGTAAGACCATGCCCTGCTTGGTTTGTTTTGGCATAGTTGGATGTGACCTGTTGTCTGTGTATGAAGTTACCAGGAGAAACAGATTCCGAGATGAATGAAGACAACCACAAGGAAACTGCCTTGTTTTTGGACAGGTCACGTCTTGGAAGGCAAAGGGTCGCCACGCCATCTCGGAACCCTCGCTTTTGACTCCAGCACCTGAGAAACTATTTTCGGATTGTGCTGGCTACGGTTACCATAGCTCTATATCTGCATGTAAGTAATCTTCATGCTTTGACACCCATTCAGGGGTAAAACCGACAGCTGAGAGTCGTGGGGTGTTTTGTTTATCGATGAATGCTGTTTCGGAGACCTGCCACAGGACACACAGTGAGCCTTATGTTGACTGTATTGTTTAAGATGGAATGTCTGACAATGTGGGGAGAATTCTCCTGTAACACTAAAATCACCTTTGGTGAGGATTAAGGGTAACCTTACTGCTTTGGAGGTACATTGATAAAGTCTTTGAGCCAACAGCTTATCTGGTCCTGTAAACCAATCAGCACGTATTGATATTTCACCAAGACAGTGCAAGATAATACAGTGCTGAGATCACAAGGGCACGTCTTACAGAAGAGCATGCATTAGTGCTGCCCGGATTGTTATTGCTCAGGGAAGCCTCACCCAAGACCCAAAACGTTCTAATACAGTATGTTAGTATGTTACATTTAATCATTTTCAGGATTGATTGATTTGTATTTGTGTTCACATTTCCAAATATGTGATTAAGTCCATTAGACCTTGGTGTTGCATTTTTTCCTCTGTCCCTATTTAATACTCTACCATATACATTACAAGTTACATGTTAATCACATACCATTTCTAATAATAAATTATATACTAAAAATAAAATAATTGTTTTTACAATTAATTGTAAAATATTTTACGATGATAAAAGAAGATGTGATTATTGTAATCGGGTTCTTTTTCACGCAGAGAATCAGAGGCCGTCCAGTGTGATGGTCCCCCCAGGTCTCTTTCCCAGATGGTGATATTTACCATGTCATCCACAATCGCCACCGGCTTCTGCAAGTGGAGCCCTGGGGTTCTCTTTGCGGCTATTTTTAAAACAGTGCGTTCCTGATTGTCAAGGGTGAGAAAAAGATAAATCAGAAAAATGCGACTCCACGTAGCGATATCTATGTAGAGATTCTTGTGATGAAACTAGTGTTTTCGGTGGGTTCTTGGGCAATCGAACTAGCAGTCCTTCACAGCTCTGGATGCAGCGAATAAGAAAATAAAGAACCCAGCACACAAGACAGAGGGCACCCTAGCAGAACTCCTACTCCAGAAACCAGCTCCCCCAGAGGGGCTCCCCACTTACAGAGCAGCTGGAGAGGAGAGGGGGGGTGCAAACTACTGCCAACTGAGACAAAGCCTTTTCTTCCTGAAAGAAGCACAAGCTCGTGTGCCATCTTGTACTCATCAGTGTCCCACACATCCAGTTCTGGGCACATAGTTAAACAGTTAAAGCGAGAGGGTTATAATTTTTACTCCTGGCGTCTGAGAATGTATTTTTTCACGACGTCTAGGAAATAAGATAGTAATAACAGAACATCAGAGCACTTACTGATGCGTTTGCCCCCCTTTCCCCCTGTGGACTAGAAGAATGAGCAGGAAATAAATGTAATGCTTATATCTACATTTGAGCAGGGACACATCTCCTTATCTACATATGAACAGGGAGCTGCACTAGTGCTCTTTACCTTCAGACCCTTGGTAAATCTCTGGGCTGCCAGCAGTCCTTTGAGGCTGATGGCTCCATTGTTTCTGGGGTTCACCTGTGCAGCTCTGGATGTCCTGCGGCTCAGCTGGGGGTCCCCTTGGGTGGGGCTCTGTTCCAGAAACAGAAAGACAGAGTGAGCAGCAACTGAGCCAAATGAAAAGATTCTGCAATGCCTTTTGTAACATTCAGAATGCAATCGATATATGTGCAATTTTTAAAAAATCAAAAATATATACTGTATGACAAAGCCGTCACAAACCAGAGTAAGACTCTGACAGCTGTGAAACCAAAGCCAAGCAGAAGTACATAAATGCAAATCAATTCTTTCTGTGTTTTTTTTTCTTCAATCAAATTGTGAAAATATCAGATTAAGAAATCTGTTATGCTGCAGGATCCATTTTTTTTCAGGTCAAGGAGTCAAATTTGAGACTATGCTGGGGTGAAAACCAATAGACTTTCGGTCTATGTTTCCAAAACAGTGAACTTTCAACAGTGTTTCCACATTCCTGTGAATATAAATCGGAGAAATGTTCATATTTCAGAGTACGTATTTTCATATGTTGATAGAAATCCATGAGACAGTAAGATTGCTTATACCTTTCACTCAATGCAATAATTGCTGAGTATTTCAACAGAAATTTGTATTGCAAATGTTGATTTGTGTAAAGTTGATAGAATAGATGAGAAATAGATTTGAAGTGATACAGCAATTTTATACCTGAAACGATGGCAGTTTTCTGCAGTTGCTATATGTTGCTGTTGTGGGGTGGGAGCAGACAGTGAAATGGGCAGTTCCCCAGTAATTTTACCTCTTTGAGAGTGCCAGTGCCTCTGTCCCTGGTTTCCTGGGCTGGTGCCCTGAGCATAACTTTGCCGCTTCTTAAAAGCATCTGTTCCTTTGAATTGTTCATTCCTAAACAAAAGATTTTAAGTTCTGCCAATAGAAGTTAGTTCTTTTGTTGAAAGATCAAGCAGTGGTACAATCGACAGACAACAAAAACTGAAATATCTCCACTGGATACAGATGAACCCATTTGTGCCAGCATTTTAATTCAGAAACGCCCCCAGCCTAGACAGCTTCATCATTAACTACATCTTCAATAAAGACAAGTGAGCCAGATACAGAGGTTGATCATGCCCAAGCCGTGAGATTACCAGGCTTCAGAATTTGCTTGGAAGGACTTGATGAGACAAAGACAAACCTTAACCAATGGGCACTGTAGTACAGTTTACATTAATGTAAATCTCACATATATATATATACAATGAAGTAAGCTGCTTGTTTACAAGTTTCTGCTAAGCATGATAATAATTACAAAACCATGGTTCTTTATCCCATGGCAATGAGTAACATAATACCTTCCAGTCTCCCATAAAAAAAACTACCAAAGAGCTTTGTAAAGGACAAAAAGATAATAAGTAACTAATTCTTGGTCCTGTTTTACAAGTTCTTTACTCAAATGAAGAGAGCCTAATGACTTATTAATTTTCAAATTAAACAAATATTTATTGTGGCATTTAAGTTTTTATTTTAAAAAAGCACTTAAAGGCACTGCCTACCTGCACCCTTGCGCCTGGGCTGCTGTTAGTGCAATAATGACTGCTGTGTTGTTTGTGCCTTCGTCCTGTGTCCTGGACTCCTTGCATGCTTGTGTTCTCCTGGGTTGCTACTTCTGTAATTATTCAACTTGACCTTGTTGCCTTGCCAGGATTATGTCTTAGTAAACAATGAAAATACTTATCGGGTAAGTCAACATGGGAACGTACACAGGCCAGGAGGGAATGGGTAAAGGTTAGATTTTTTATTTGTAAAATACAAATACCAATACCAACAAAAACAAAATGCATAGTTGCAATATTGCATTTCAGGGTTTTTGGCATTATTAATACACAAAGCTTCATAATCCGGTTTGATTATCTGTCATGCCAACCTACGAATTAAATTCCTCAGCTTAAGTGTTCAGGCATTTAGTCAAGTCCTTCGTTAACACACTGAACACCCTAGAGTCGCCAGTACGAGTCTGTTTGTACTGTATGCAGAAGCCTCCTTTTCTACTCTTGGAAACTGAGATGAAAATCCAGTACATAGGAATATAATACTAACACAGTGAAGGCAAGCAGATTCGGAAAGAACCGAAGAATTGTCGGAAATTCAAATCTCATCAGTTTTTGCAAGCGTGTCTCATACCCAGGAATGCAGTCTACAGAACCTTTGGGGCTGAACTTCTTCAAGCAGAGCTACTGCTTAGTAAGCACTAAACCCCATGTGCTATTGATGTAGAAGTAAAGTTCTCATTCTGCAATACTCTTTTAATAATTCATTCATAACAGGTGGGACTGTGTAAGAAATGAGATCACAGAGGCCTGCGTGAAATATTACAGCACTTTGCTCATTTAGATGCAAGAAAATAAATTATTAATGAAAAATAAGTCTTTCCATAATAAATGTTTTATCCTTATTTCACTTGCATCTTTGCTTCAGGTTATGAAATTGGTTGTTTTAATTTGAAACAGCGTTAATGGATGCCTACTACTGGGATTCACATTTCTAAGTCTTGGAAATTTGGGATGATCTTGCATATCCATAGATTTCAGTGAAAGAGTCTCTCAACCCAGCCTTACACACTGAGATAGCTAAGCCCCGATACTGTAGCAAAGTGCTTGCATATGTTAGCTGTCTCGATGGTACCCATGCAACCCGCTCACAACACAGTTTATGTGGCAAAGGGGGATGAAAATGGCTATGAAAAAGGAACCAATGCACAGTCGGTGTATTGCGGATAACTATCCTATTGAAACGGTCTTCCAAATTTTTGTATTCATTGTATTCAAATTTCAGGCTGAAATTCAGTGTCCAATCGCCCAGTGCTTCTGGATCACTGTGTTCTTAGATGTTAAAAATGCTCAGTTATACCTGTGAACATGTATCACATGGTTCTGATAAAACTGGACATTGACCCAGCAGAGGCAGAACATCACCAAAAAGAGGCTGTAGTACAGAACGGAGTGATTTCAAGTGAACGGCCTCAGCCATTAAGCTCATGTCCTTAAGCTTCTTCTCGCCAGCTTGATTTGAAGAGTTTGTGTACAATGGTGGCAGTTTGGCTCCGAGCCACCACCACACAACCATCAAGCAGCCGGCCAGCTGACCCTGTGGGACCATTTGCCTGCTGCTTGCTGGCTGTGGGAGGGAGCTCATTCAACAACCATCTGAGGCCCCGGTGAGACAAAGAGCAGACTTGTCTTGCTCTGCACCACAGAAGACCTGTGTCAACCCATTGTCACATCTATAAAACATTTATCCCTTTCCTCTAAACAGAGTGTACCAACACGGCTTCTGGAACTGTGTAAATCACAAGGACATTTGATACAGACCATTAAAATTTAGTGTAGGAGGCAAGGGTAATATCAGATTCCCAATTCAAACCAGCAATTAATTATTCATCACACTGTTAATTCTACAACCCTGTGCTTCATCCTATAACTATTGACTTCAATGTTACTGCTCTCCTTACTCTAAGGATATAGCTATTGTGCTAAGTGCGTGAAAAAATGTCATTTAGGATTGCTGTCCTCATTCCATTCCTCTCTGCAATCAACCAGGCTGTGCCAAAAAAAGGTAAGACTTTTTTCTTCACGATTTTCTCACTGCTCAATGAATGGAGGTCTGTCAGAACACTTGCCATGAGAGGGAAAGGATTTTTAAGTAGTGCCTTAACAATTAAATTCTGGTCCGACTAAAGAAATTGCCTTTATTTATACTGTAATCAAGAATTTCTGTTTTTGGCAGTAAAGGGTTTACTAACTGCATAAGGTACTTGATTTTAGGGGTTATGAATGGAGGTTTTGAAATAAGATGTTTAATTTAATGTAGTTACCACACTCTACATTAAAAAAAACATAGAAACAGTCTTTTCTTTCTCACTTTGCTCCAGTACAAACTTCTGTGTGTCTCAGACAACTACACTTGCCTCTTTCGTTCAATGAATTATACTTGTTTGTTTAAGAGGAAAATAAAATCTGTTATCTTTACAGGGGCTGATGACTTTGTATAATGATGAGATTGGGAGGGAATGGAATTGGAGTGGAAATATTTCACATTTAGTGACTTATTTCTTTACAATTACTTGGTTCAATTACCAGAATAACCAGATAGACAACAAAGATTCACAAATTGCCTCAATATAAAAGGGAGTTAATTAAAGAAATGTGATAACTAGGGAGATAAACTGTAAGGAGTCAATATTCTTCAGTATATATAGTATATACTGTATATAGTATATATATGTTCGTTCAGTTGAATTCAGGCTATCCTGAATTCAAGTTCCATCCTGGAATTCAGTTTAGAAACCTTCACTTGACACAACCTGCTATGAACTTTAAAAAAAAGTGTTCAACAATTGGCTGGTTAGCATGTTCCACACTCCCACAAACCTCTGAGACCTGCCCCAACCCTGAAAACCTACCGCAAAGTTTTGTAAATAGAAGCTCTTAATTGAAGTTGGGGAGGAATAATGAAAAACAAGACAATCTCACCCAGCTGTTCAAAATCACAAACCTTCCTGATGTACGTCTCACACAAACAACCTCTTTTTTCACATTTGGTCTCGTGCGTCCTACCTCCATCCCATCTCCACCTGTACAGCTGCCTCCTAGTCACCTCTCACTCTGCAGTCCAGAACGTTTCATTCTTAAAGTACTCCGACTCACAAAGCGTCTGATTTTTGCATGCCATTATTCACTGTGAAAAGGGCAGAGCAGTGCACATATCAGATCAGTCATAAAAAGACATATTTCATCACCTAGATAAGGCTTTTTCTAAGAATCTGGATGTGCCATAAGCACTAAACAACTGGAAAAGGCAATCATGTATAAACAGTTTCTTGTTGTCAAATAATTATACATTTGCATCTGTTTTACAAAACCACAGCTCCTTTTCCCTGAAAGTAAACCTTTCCCATTTTTAATCTTGTGTAATAATGTTGAATCTTTGCACTGTGCAGCGTAAGCAGCACTTTGCTTAAGAAGTAAAATGTTTTTGTAACTGTATAGGTAAATCCATGAATACATTCACGTGGGTTACTATAGCATATGTCCTTTTTTGCTTTCGCATTTTCCTGAACAGGACAAACATTTCAGTTAATGTGTTCCATAGGCAGGCAAAGGCAAGTCACACCGTTCATGAAAAGGGTCAAAATGACCGAAACACCCAGTGCTGCATATATTTCGAGTTCACTAATCATTTACAGCTGGGAGAGGTCCTAGCTGGTTTATGTTCAGTGAGCATTGGCACTTCATTGTAATGTGCTACAAAGCCATGATGAGTATCCCCCCCTTTTTGCTAACACAAAGATCTGAGCCCTGCTAACACGCGGGCAACCACATGCTGACATTGCTCTATTAAACTGAAAGCCAAACCGTGTGATGTCACACGGGCCACGTTCACACACTTCGGCTCCCTCTGAGAAAAAACACTTCCCGCCAGTTCTTTCAATGGGTACGATGCAAAAATGGAATTCGGATCTGGATCTGTCTCAAGTAACGTCTGTCGAAATGACAGCTCGATTGCATTACTTCATAGAAGCACTGGAATAATGCTTCTTAGATTTCCGAAACTGTCGGCCAATTTACAGCCACAGCTACTGCAGTGCAATTCATTATTTATTCATGGTTAATCTGCCCCAGGGGTGAAGTGTGGCGGCATTCTCTCCGCGCCGAACGGCAACATATCGAGCCCCAACTTCCCGGGGCTGTACCCCTGCGACACCGAGTGCGTCTGGCTCATCGTGGTGGCAGAGGGCTCTTCCGTCCTGCTGACGTTTCACCACTTCGAGCTGGAGTACCACGCCGACTGTGCCTACGACTACGTGCAGATTTACAACGGGGCCTCCCAGGACCAAGGCAACCTCCTGGGGACGTTCTGTGGGGAGAACCCCCCTCCGCCGTTCACCTCGGCCTGGCACGTCATGTCCATCGTCTTCCGCTCGGATAGACACGTGGCACACAGCGGCTTCTCTGTGGGATACAGGAAAGGTAAGCGAAGGTGTGACAGGAATTAATCAATCCTTTCATTGGCTGATTGCTCAGGTTGCACGTTCTTACCTGCAATTGATCGATTGGTTGGTTGCTTGGTTGACAGGCCGTGGGCAGGCTTTTACCTTTGTAAAATGGCCTCCTTCATTAACTAAGTAAAACGTAACTAAGTGTTGGTTGTAATGTTTTGTTTAAAGCCCACACAAGACATACCCAGATCTGGCCGGGATACTGTCCCATATCTTTTATCGTTTTCAGGGTCAAATTGGTGTACAGGTGTAGCTCACAGTAAAGTCTTTTGTTTTTTTTGTTCTTTTTTTCTTTCCTTGTCTTCTCTGCTCTTGCCTTTACACTTAAATTATTAATAAGTGATGAATAAAAGTAGCCATACCAAGAGTGCAGTATTGAGGCTCGCCATTCTTTAGGGCTTCAGGCGGCATTGTACAACTCAAGAAACCAGGGTTTGCATCCCGTGAAACACTATTCTCATGGTGAATATCCAGCGAATTATTTTTTTGCCCTTTTAAGAATATTAGGCTTTTGCAGTCTCGGGCGGGAAGTGTAAAGCACACGATAGCTTCTGCTCTTACATGTTCTTAACATTTCAGCCAATTCTGGGCTGCAGGGGAGCAGGAGCAACAAGTGCAAGGCAGGGTCACACCCTGGATAGGATACCTCCCCATTAGAGGACACACTGACACAGACACACATGCACCAGGGCCACCTTTTCCAGGAGTCACTTAACCTGCCAGCATGTCTCTGGACTGCGGGAGGGAGCCTGGGCACAGAATCACATGAAAGGACAATGAATTCACTCCTAGATACACACCTAGTGTTCTCCTCTTGTATCGTATTATTGAAGCACTTGTCGGTAAAGAGGCTGCACACACAGTCACCCTCCTCTGCTGGCAACTCTTGGCAGATGTGTGTGGCGGAGTGCTCACGGGGCTGTCCGGCACCATATCCAGCCCCGACTACCCCGACAGCTACCCCAACAACGCCGAGTGCTCCTGGACGGTCCACGTCTCCAACCGCACGGTGGTCAGCCTGGTCTTCCTCGACTTCCAGCTGGAGAACAACGAGCAGTGCGAGTTCGACTACGTGGCTGTGTTCGACGGCCCCACCGCGAGGCACAGGCCGCTCGGCAACTACTGCGGCAGCGAGACCCCCCCCAGCGCCGTGTCCAGCTCCAACCGGCTGCTGGTGGTCTTCCGATCGGACTTCAACATCGGAGGCCGGGGCTTCAAAGCGTACTACTACTCCGGTGAGTCAGGAGCGGGCCCGCGGGACACAGGGGGAGTTCGCACCTGCTGGTTTGAGGTGTGGGGGCTTGCGTAGGTGTCGCGCAAGGCGCAGCCGTGCGGAGTTTGATTCCCGAGGCTTGCTTTGCTTTTCGACAAGTCGGCGGACAGATAACTAGTGCAGAGGCCGAGGCAGCGCTGAAACGGCTTTTTGCAGGACTCCATCAAGGTGGAGAGGTGGAGACCCTTGCTGTGCCAGACCCGTCTTACTTCCGACCGGTGGACAGCCCATCAATCACTCATCTTGCTTTCCTCCTCTGTACAAGTTTGATTGTGTTTACTGTTTCAAATCCCCCGATCTTTTTTGGGGGGAGGGAGGGTTTTTTTTTCAGAATAGAAGAAATAAAAAGACAGAACAATCCCACGTTTCAACCTCCACCTAACCCACCCCCCCCCCCATCAGTGGCACCTCCCTCTACCTCCGTCCCTCCTAAAGCACCCCTGAAATAACCTCAGGGTCCAAACAGCAGTGAGCTCCTCATGGAGAATCCAGTCTTACCAGGGGAGGGGGTGGGAGGGTCCTACTCTAGTGCCAATATCTTTTTTTTACTGCAGAATTTTGAAATGCAGGGGGAAAACCAGCAGATCTTCACGGCCCACAAGGGGAATTTCACCATGGATCTGCCCTAACGAAATTGTCCTCCTCTCGTTTGAGACCTGTCTTCTGAACATGTGGCTGTCGCAGAGGAACCGAGAAGCTGACAGTTTAACAACTGAATGGTAGTGCAACCCGACACACCTCTTTCCTCTTTCTGGCCTAGGGTACCGAGTGCTCAAGACGCATTGATGTGAAGTGGTGTTGGTGTTGTGTTTTGCACACAAGAGGGGACACCAACGTGGGAGAGCAGGAGCTCTGTAGCACCAGGAGAGGAAATGCAGAGGCTCCCACTCTAGAGCCAACATCTGTTCACCTGCGGTGTCTTTATTATGTCCAAAAACAGGGGAATGCCAGCAGATCTTCACAGCCATAAAGGGGAATTTCAGCAGCCCCCAGTATCCCGACATCTACCCCAACAACATCAACTGCCACTGGACGGTGAGTCTGGCCGCGGGGTACCGGGTCAAGCTGTACGCCGCGGACATGGAGCTGGAGGACAGGAACAGCCTCACGGACGCCTGCGACTACGACTCCCTGGCTGTTCACGACGGGAGCAGCCAACGGGACCCCCTGCTGGGGAGGTGGTGCGGGGCCGAAATGCCGCCGCCCCTGCTTTCCCAAAGCAACAAGCTCCTCGTCGTCCTGAACACTGACCGGAACGCGGCTTACAGGGGCTTCTCCCTCTCCTACATAGGTGGTGAGTCTCGGTTAAAGGCATCCGGGGGGCCGAATAGGCAGGGGCCAGTCTGCGCTTTGAAGGGTATTTGCCGCCTGGTAGGGTATTGGGGTTCTAATTCTATGTATTGCTTTCAAGCTGAATAGCCGCGAAAGCAGAGTAAAAATACGCATCAACCTTTTCAGATATGATAAGCCTCAGATGAGCCACTTCTAAAACTTGGTGACAATAAAAGAAACTGCTTGACCAGGACTGCTGTTCAAATGGAACTCCAGGTATGCACGAGATATACCCAAATCAGGACTTTATTTTCCTAAAGACCTTTTGCGTCTTGTGACTGTAGAGCAGAGAAGCATCCTGAGGCTGACTGCACGCCTTCTAGAGCTGTGCCTGACTGCTGCCCGTGTGTTTCTGTGTGTCCAAGTGGTCCCGGTCAACGTGAGCTGCAGCAGGACTGACTTCCAAATCCAGATTTCCCAGCAGGCCCTGCCCCAGCTAGACCGCTACAGTGTGTATCTGGGGAACCCCAGCTGTGCCGCGCAGATGACAGCAACCACCTTCAAAATTATAGCCAGGTTTGTCACCTGTGGCACAGAGTCTCAGGTGAGTCCTTGGTGTTTACCCACCTGCTGAGTGGTGCTTCCTCTTTCCAGTATCAGTGCCAGGACACACTCTTTGCTTCAACACAAACACCGTGTTCATAAGTGGATTAGAGTTGTTCATTTTCAGTTAGAATCTTTCTAAAGATTCTAAAGAATACAGTGTTATTTAACAACATGCCAATGTTGTTGTACAATAACAATTTCATTGTAAAGGCCAAACTGCAGGTGATAATTGAAATGTTGCCATACTTCAATGTCAATAACTATATTTTATAACTTAGTTTTCGGGTTTCACCCAAACGCTTGCAGCTCCCAGTAGTTCTAAAATATCAAAATGGTCTCATCCTTCCGGGAAACAATTGCACCTTAATTATATCTAAACTGGTGGTGGGACGCAAAGCAAAACAGGTTTCCTGGGACTAAATTCTCCCTCCACTGCTGTATTCTACTCTGGTATTGTTGAATTTGTACAGGTTCTTGCTGTGGCATCCTCCTGTCTGAACAACCAGAACCGAAAGGCACATAAATTAACGTCTTGCGTTCTCTTGTTTCAAAGCTGCAAGAGGAAAAGCGTCCTCTCAGTTGTCACCACAGCAGCATAACGGCACCTCCTTTGTCGCCTCTGAATAACAGAACCTGAGTCGAACTGCTTGCACATTTGGTTTCTCGTAAAGGTTTTTTGAAAAAAAAACTACAAATTTTACCACACGTTGGAGCTACAGAACGCACGTTCTCCACAGCTTATAAACAAGTAGAGTTACTTGTATACTACAGACTAGATAAGGGATGAGGCACATATTCAGTCATTTCCCAGCTTCTCTCACCTTGGTTCTCTGACTAATGTTTTGATAGCCAAGGACACTTGTTCCTGCTCTCCGGCTTCTTACCTGACTGCTTTTTCATCCTCACACAAGTCGTTCATTTCCACCACATAGTCTGAGCTCACCCTCCGACTTCCCTACACCTCTTACTAACCCAGCACGACGCAGCTCTCCCAGTGGAGTGAAGCAGTGCTGGTGCTGTCCCATGTGTTGCAGAGGAGAAGGAATGTCACGGTGATGGTGAATACCCTGTACGTTGACTTCTCCGACGGCCAGCAGGAGAACATCCAGGAGTACGAGGTGCAGTGTGAACCCCGACACAAGGAGGCCTCCATAAATCTCATCTCTGGAGATGACCGATATCGGCTGAACCAGCTGACCGAGAGGACGGACACAAATACCGAGGACGCCGACTCCTCTAACGCAGACGTCCGGGGACAGGACACCAGCGACATTGTCTTCATCAGCATCTGTGTACTAGCTGGTATTCTAATGCTGATTGCGATTATTGGTCTAGTGCTTCTTTAACTGCGCAGTGCAAAAAGGGACAGAGACTTCCACTCTACGGTTTAATTAACTCATTACAGCATAGATTACGAAATGTAATAAATCCAAATAGAAATGACTAAAACACATAGTTAAAAAAATATATTGCTGCCCTAAATAAGGGGCACAGGAGCAAGCAAAGGCCAAAACATTCATCGGAACTCTTCATATTCCTGTAATATTAAAAAGTAATATTTATATATGTGAGGACTCTGATTTCTCTGTGCATTTGGAAAAAGTTTTCAAGAGAACATTTTAGATGGACTTTCGTTCTGCTTTCACCTCACGTTCCTCTTTAAAACGCGAACAGATTGAATTTGCAAGTATTCAGAACCACTGGGGCTGAATTTGTATTTTTAACTAAGCTGATCCTTCCTGTCTCCACAGAACCACGAATCCCATTTAATGATACCTTTGAAAGGTCAGAGTATCAATCAAACTTATAATTGTGGGAACCATGTGGTGTGTCGTTTTCTAGATCGTCTATTCAGTACACATAGTACTTTCTGTGAGCATACATTAAGGTAATACAACAGATCTCAGACCAACCAAGTCTTGAATGCATTAATGACAAAATGTAGTAGCATTTGTGGACCCAGAAATGAAACAGCAAGGACACGCTGAATACAGCCTTTGTTCATTCGTCCAGTTAATCAAAGCTTGTTAGGTTCAAAAGTATAGCAACAGCAGGCAATTTTGGTATTGGTATCCTGGTAATTGAGACACTGATGCTTACCAGTGCAGTTCACCTAAATTGGAAGAGCCTGTGATCCCTAGCGTGATCAAAGTTCTAAGTTAATTTTATTGAGAAATCTGGAGTTGAAAATCAATATACATTACATGTGTCTGGCATTTTAAATAAGAAAATGAAAAAAGTCACTACCCAAGACTCATTGTAGTAGTGATTTAAGGACAGAAAGACTATATGTAGACCCATGCATTCTATTTTCTCTTTCCTCACTGTGACTCCCAAACGGTGCTGCTTTGCTGGTATTTCACAGTCTTAAGTTTATAACAGTGGTAGAGTGCTAAGATATTGTCCCTTTACATTAATGTACTATCAGTCACTGCCACGGCATGTGACTACACGCCTAACACCAATGACAAACCAAACATTCCGTATCAGGGACTAGGCTTGGATTATGGTGGGGTTATATACTATATACTATATACTGTGGCACAAAAGTAACACAACATGGAAAGTCTACCAGATCTTACTAAACAACGTGAACCTAGAGATAAGACTGCATTTCACAAAACGGAGGTTCAAATAAAGATCGGGGAATCGTTTTCAGTTTGAAACATGACAATGTTGGTATCAGGTGTGACGTCACAACACATGAATCCTGGCAAGAACGATGCACGAGCCTGATCAGGCTGTGGCCAGACTGCAGTGGGATGTTTTGCCCTTTTTCCTGTGCCTGTAGCCAACTCGTATGTTAACTGGTTTCAGTG